CAAACCATACGTACGATAATATCATTATCATCCTATGTTATTTACTTATTTTAAATACCCAATGGATCTTCGATTTAATTGCTGAAGTAATAATATACTGATAGTTTTTTCTCATATTTGAAAAGGTTACTTTTAATATTACTAAACATCGTACGTTCACATATCTGGATGTGACTATATGGTTTTGCGGTCCTTTGAGAGACAACTCTATATAATATAGTGACAAGTACATAAGCTGAATAAATTTATTGGAGATGATCAATGATTAAACCAATGACTAATTACTGTCTCGGAATGAGACTAAAACACTAAATCATCATCAAACACATGCAGCAACAACAAAACTGACAAGCAGAGCCAGAGTCATTGTATTCTCGAAGTGGATAATATATATTGGTGTTTTATTTAAATACATGTCACACATCCTTCATGCATGACATCTCTTACATGTAAGAAAAACTTTTGAAGATATAGATAGATATATATATAGTAGATGTTGAGTTAGAATATGATTAGACATTGGAGGATATACCCTACTTTAGCGATAGGCATTATTCCGAAGCAAGATATGATATATGTTGGTACTAATACAAAGAAATGTTGTTACTACACAAAGTCCAAAAATATACAAACCAGGTTATTAAGTAGTTTAAACTTGTTTTGAATCGAGATCCAAATTCTAAATTAAACTTGTCTTCAACTTGGAAACTAATCCGGGTTTAGTTTATAAAGTGTTGTTGACAACATAAGAAAAGTTTATAAAATATAAATGGTCATCTATATACTTCTAGTTAACTTGCTAAGGTAGATATATGAATGAATATGATAGTGCGTTGGTAGAGTCAAAATGCATATGAAGCGTAGTGATTGACATAAATCAATCCTTTTCACTCAAAAGGTTGTACAGCTTTAAGATGGGGAATAAGAATTTTTCTTTCACCGAGGATGAGCTTTCACTTGCAGTACAAAAATTGTAAAAGCTAATACTTGGGAAAAAGAAGAAGATTGTACAGTGAATTCTTATAGTTAATAAGGTAGTGTAGTGAATATGATAGTGCGTTGGTACTTGGTAGAGTCATATCCATATGAAGCGTAATAAGTCTTTTAGTGATTGAAATAAAACTATCTTTTTCATTCAAACATCTATAAATTCTTAAATTGTATTCCATTCGTCTTAGTTATCTACAATTATATATTATATATTCAGATTTTTGAATGTTGCATCAGACTTTTTCGTTTCAAACACTTGCAGATTTTTAGTAAGTAGTCAAATGTTCTGATCATAAATGGCAGTTTTTGGAAATATTTGCAGCCATTTGCAAAGAAAATGTTACGTGGGGATTTACTGATTTAGGCTTAAGCTTTTTAAACTGTTTGATTTGTTGGTATCAATGTAAAATTATATTTTAAGTATACTTCGGTATTTAACGCAATTCGTTAGTGCTTATCTCAATATGTGACATATTAAATTTAGCTAATTAATGGCCGAGAGACGCATTGTTATTGTATCACAATTTATCGCAAAAATTGGATTAATTAAGAAAAAGACGTCTTAGCTAGTGACAAATGGTCTGTAGTTAATTGTCACAACCAGTGAGTCCGTGACAAAGAGATAATTATGGCACTATAGTGGCAAAAGTAACAACAAGACATCACTATATTTTCTCATAAAGTTTTTGCAAATACCGACAGATAAACAGTGAAAAACAAATGTCCATATTTTCAAATAAAATAAAATTATTATAGCTCCTAACATATGTATTCATGTAGTGTTTAGACAGTTATTAGCCAGTAACATATATTCAAATCCTTAACAAAAAAAAGGGATATATTCAAATTGTTTTGGTAGGTAGATGTAATTAAAATCGTTTTGTTCGTTTTCTTATCTTTGTGTTAGTTACGGAATTGGCCCACAGCATTGGTAAATTATATTATTCATATACAATACGACTACTATGGTTAGCTATCTTCTCGAGTGTGAACATATGTAATAACAACATAAGACGAATTTTTTTAAAAGGCTAGACAGAGTTAATTAATAATTGTCTCACATGCATTAACTAACATTCGTGTTTAATTATTAATTACCGATTGTGATGTAATATGGTTATTACCGATTGTGAGTATTTATATCTAACTCGTAACTAATTCTATGATGAAAATAAAACAATAAACTCAGAGGATAAATCATTCACTATTACCAGATATGGTTTGCATGCTTTATAACTTTCATTGAAGCTGCATGGCTCCAGCCCATGACAACAAGTAAACAAAACTAATTAAGAGATTGGTGAGATATGTATAATTATACATAATGCCAGAAGTTGAATTGAATAGAGATGGGTAATACACTTCATTTAGAAACTATACTTTGTTCAGTGACGACGATCTAATTTATATTATTTATGCGAAACGTGAAAATGGTAGGGACATATATAATTTGAAGTATAAAATCTGTGAAAACAAATGCATGTACAAAAGTGACAGCTACTTTTCCACCCATTCTTGCTTTTACTTTGGTTTCATTCAGACCAAAAACATATACTTTAATTACATTATAACTTGACATATAGAAAACTATTAATCTAGGAAGTAGTATAATTGGAAAAGATTAGCCAACTTATGATTGATTTGGGAGTCACTCAAGTCCAATGCAATATACATTTTTGAGAAGAGAAAAAGTAACGTCCAAACTCTATATATAATTAATAATATATCGATAGTTGTTCTAACATGTAAAAATAAAATGTTTTTAACTTTGAAATACATATTTTTTTTTTAAAAGTTTGGTTGAGCCATTTGTTGGATTAATTTATCTTAATTAATCCTTAAAAAAAATAACACAAACTGATTGCGATTTCGGAAAATAAAAATTCGCAGTAGTCACACCGTGACATAACGAAAAAACATTACTCAGTCAAAGACTCAAAGGCATGTAACATGCCATAAGCGATTTGGGATGAAAAGGCAACAAAACATGGAAGTTGATTCATGTTGGAGTATAACTAATGCGTGACTGGACATGTCTTTAGGTGCCCATGGCCAGTGTATACTAATGTTAGAACACGTACGCCCGGGTGAATAATATTGTTTTAATGTTGATTGACGTTATAGCTAGAACCAAACCCACACGACTTATATATATGTATGTTACCTTAACTTTGTTTTCGAACTGAAGCCTTTACCAAAACACACTTTCTTAAGAACTCAAAACATACTTTGCAATTAATCAACGAATATATACGTACGTGGTAAACCAAAAGAATATATACATATAGATATAATATATGATATAAAGAATCCAAATAACGTATATATAAAAAAAAAAATGTAGTGGGACCCAGAAATTCCCATCATGGTTCATTATCATTATCGTTATCATCTTCTTTCGTTGCTCTCTTTCTCAATAATTTAGATTTTTGTGTAATTAAATATATATTTTTAGGTTTTCTGCAAGAAGGAGACGTTTCCTCGTTTTTGTGCTGTTTGGATCTTCTGACACAATTCACTTTTTCTTATAAATAAAACTTTCAGTTTCTCTAATCCCATTATGTTTATTTAGAATTATTATATTCTTTAACCTATTTTATGTCTCGAGCAAGTGTAATCTGTGCTTCTTTTATTTTTTTCTTTCTTATCGATGATTATACGCACGCTTCAAATCTTTTTAATTTTAAGAATATCAACGTCTTGATGTGTTTTAAGATTTCATGTGATATTTATATGATACAAAGATTGGTGAATATATACTGAATAGAAACATATTAGGTAATTTGTTAATGAAATGTTATATGATATAAAATTGGTAACGTAAACATTATGAATTTTGTATACTTGCACAAAATCCTAATGATCAATTCAAAGTTGTTTGCTATTTTCAGTGTACAGTCTGAACTTAAATAGATGATAAAAGTCTGCAAGAATAGTAATCTCAAGAATACTTTTTTGTTCTGGATTGTAGTTATATCAATAAAGAAATATTTGGATTGAGATGCGTGTGGGATTTCTTTTTATTATTATATAAATAATAATGTATAAATAAGAAAAAATGATATGATTCTAAATTGGACACGACATACATATCACTATGTCTTGATGTGATAACATTTACTTCCTTTATAACATTATATCTATCAGAGTCTAAAATAATGGAGAGAGTGTTTGGTTGTTAGGATATGTGGGTTCATTACCTGGTCAATACACATAGAAAGGCCAAAGTCATATCATACAAGTTCCTCTGTTTTCTCGACCCATTCGCAAGCTCAGTACACCAACTATAGTTTCTTATAAGATACATATCATTTCATGTCAATATTACTGTGTAATATATTTATATTTTCATATGAATATGATATGATACAAAATTTTAAATATCAATATTAAATATTTTGTACTGAATGCCGATATAAACAATTATACGTACACAATGCCCAATTATTTTTTTTGCTTTCAATTTTTTTTTTTTTTAATTTTTTTTTTTCAACTTAATTTTATCATTTCTATCTTACTTACTATATGATGTACTTAGTACTTTTATTTGTTACTCACCATGCTATATTCATAGTAGTTTAGAGTAGGATATAGCTCTTTTGAACGCATCACGTAAAGGGTTTTCAGAAAATTGTTATACGGATACAAGTTATATCTAAAATCAAGTTTACATAAGTAATTTTTAACAAAAAAAAGAGTTTACATAAGTAATTCATGTCCTAAACATTTTCTTAATTGTCTCACTAAACCAAAAATACTCCTCTTAAAAATTTTAGGAAAAATGGAAAAAAAAAAAAAAACTTTCTTAGTTATAAGATATACCGACCACAACAAAAACAAAGATAAAAATAAAAAAAAAGAAAGAAAGAAAGTGAAGAAAAAAATGGTGGCGTACTAAGACTGTGGGAAGATTAATGAGTGAAGGAAAAGATGGGTATCTTTTATCTCTCTCCTTTCTTTATCCTCTCTTTCTCTCTCACTCTCTTTCTCAATATCATCTTTTTATATATATAAAACTTATTTCTCAGCTTTTTTAATGTATTTTATATTTCCCCTTTGAGCAAGAAAAGAGTTGCAGAGATCTTTGAGTCTGACACAGAGAGACCAAACTCACATAACAATCACACACACATCTCCACAAACATAGGTCTGTTTATATATAAGTGTATATTCGTGTGTGCTTCTGTCTCTCTCTCCCCCTTCCTCTTTCTCTTTGATAAGAAATTCTCTCTAATGTAACTTTCCTTTTGCAGCTTGAGATGATCATGAAACACGTGCATCCTCAGATCTCTATCAATCCAGGTTCTTCATCTTTCTTTCTTTTTTATTATATATATTTTTTCATTTTTCTTTTCTTCTTTCAATCTCCTTCCTCATCATCCTCTATATATATATTTTTCTAACTCCATTATTTTATTATTTTATTTTCAATCATGATTATGTCTTCATTTCTCATATCCTTTGATGATCTCTCTTTCTCATAATCCATAATCCATAATCTTCTTCCTCTTCTTGATGTGATCACAGTTTTTTCTTTCTTTCAAACTGTGTAGATAGATAGATATATATACGAACTTAATCGTGTTTTTGTTTTTCCTCCTTTGTTGAGTGTTTTTTTTTTGTTTCTTGATCAATCAGCTTGGTGAAACAAGAAAATCAAGAATTGAAAGATAATCAAAGATAACGACGCCGTTTCATTCGTGACAGTATACTACTAATATTATTATAGATGGCTGCTTACTTCCACGGGAACCCACCGGAGATCTCAGCCGGATCCGACGGTGGTCTACAAACGTTGATCCTCATGAATCCTACGACTTACGTTCAATACACCCAAGCAGACGACGACTCGAACAACAACAATAACAACAGCAACAACAACAACAACAACAACAACAACACGAACACAAACAACAGCAGTTTCGTTTTCCTCGATTCACACGCGCCGCCGCCTAACGCGAGCCAGCAGTTCGTCGGAATACCACTCTCTGGCCACGAAGCTGCTTCCATTACAGCCGCCGACAACATCTCCGTACTTCACGGTTACCCTCCGCGCGTGCAATACAGTCTTTACGGTAGTCACCAAGTGGATCCCACTCACCAGCAAGCCGCGTGTGAGACGCCACGCGCGCAGCAAGGCCTCTCTTTAACCCTCTCGTCTCAGCAGCAGCAGCAACAGCAACATCATCATCAACAACACCAGCCTATCCACGTCGGCTTCGGGTCCGGACCTGGAGAAGATATCAGGGTCGGGTCTGGCTCTACGGGATCGGGGGTAACAAACGGAATTGCCAATCTTGTAAGCTCCAAGTACTTGAAGGCAGCGCAAGAGCTTCTTGACGAAGTAGTCAACGCTGATTCTGACGACATCAACGCTAAATCCCAACTGTTCTCTTCGAAAAAGGGGAGTAGTGGAAACGATAAGGCTGTCGGAGAATCCTCTGCCGGCGCTGGAGGAGAAGGTTCCGGTGGCGGAGGAGAAGCAGCCGGTAAACGTACGGTGGAGCTAGGCACCGCAGAGAGGCAAGAGATACAGATGAAGAAAGCAAAGCTTAGTAACATGCTTCATGAGGTAACAACTAAGAATCATATACGTATTATATACATGGATCAACCTATACTGAGTGCTCTCTCATATCACACATAAAGTGGACTTAAAAAGATATATACCTAAGATTTTCAGTCATTTTCACAATTCATATTATACTATTTCTTTTTTTTTTCTTTTCTTTTTTTTGTTTCTGATTTCTAAAATTGACAATCTTACAGAGATTGATGAAATCTCTTTTTTTGTCCTCTCTTAGTAAAGATTATATATAAGTAGACCGTACACTTATATTCATAAGCCTAACGTTACGTTGTTGGGTTGGGAAATGAAAAGGTGGAGCAGAGATATAGACAGTACCACCAACAGATGCAGATGGTGATCTCGTCTTTTGAACAAGCGGCAGGGATAGGGTCAGCCAAGTCATACACGTCGCTTGCACTGAAGACCATATCAAGACAGTTCCGGTGCTTGAAAGAGGCCATCGCTGGTCAGATAAAAGCGGCCAACAAGAGTCTTGGAGAGGAAGATTCGGTGTCTGGAGTTGGAAGGTTTGAAGGGTCAAGACTCAAGTTTGTGGACCATCACTTGAGACAGCAAAGAGCTCTTCAGCAGCTGGGAATGATTCAACATCCTTCCAATAATGCTTGGAGGCCTCAACGTGGTCTCCCCGAACGAGCCGTCTCAGTTCTCCGTGCTTGGCTCTTCGAACACTTTCTTCACCCGTAAGTAACCCTCTTTTGGCATCCGCTACTTTTTATCACTTGAACACAAACTAAGTCTTCTTGAACTTTTCTTTGTTTTGATTAGATACCCTAAGGATTCGGACAAACACATGCTAGCCAAGCAAACAGGACTCACTCGGAGCCAGGTACATTTCAAATAATTCTTTTTTTTTTTTTGTGTTATTGGGTTAGTCAAGGAAACGTAATAATATCTATATGGTTTATTTTCTTTATTTAGGTATCGAACTGGTTTATAAACGCTAGAGTTCGGTTATGGAAACCGATGGTGGAAGAGATGTATATGGAGGAGATGAAGGAGCAGGGAAAGAACATGGGATCCATGGAGAAGACTCCTTTGGATCAAAGCAACGAAGATTCTGCTTCTAAATCAACAAGTAACCAAGAGAAGAGCCCCATGGCCGACACTTACCATATGAATCCCAATCACAACGGTGACCTAGAAGGTGTCACCGGAATACAAGGAAGCCCAAAGAGACTAAGAACTAGCGAGGAAACAATGATGCAGCCCATAAATGCGGATTTTAGCTCCAACGAAAAGCTCACGATGAAGATTCTAGAAGAACGTCAAGGGATCAGATCAGACGGTGGCTACCCTTTCATGGGAAATTTCGGGCAATACCAAATGGATGAGATGTCAAGATTTGATGTAGTCTCAGACCAGGAGCTCATGGCGCAAAGATACTCAGGGAACAACAATGGCGTATCTCTCACGTTAGGGTTACCTCATTGTGATAACTTGTCGTCCACGCACCATCAGGGTTTCATGCAGACCCACCATGGGATTCCTATAGGGAGAAGAGTGAAAATAGGAGAAACAGAGGAATATGGAGCCGCCGCCATCAACGGTGGCGGATCTGCCGCAACTGCACATTCATCAGCCGCAGCAGCCGCTGCTTACAATGGGATGAACATACAGAACCAGAAGAGATATGTGGCTCAGTTATTGCCCGACTTCGTTGCTTAAACCTACACACTTCTATCTAAAAGGAGAAACCGAAACAGGTTACTATACGTTTCTAGTTTTTAATTAGTATATAGTTTTTCTTATACCATTGAACCAAAACAAAGAACAAAATTTAATTTTAGTCTTTGGTTATATATGGCCGACGGTTGTATATCGATTTTGTAATTTTTTTTTTTCTATTGGGGGATGGATAGGGTTATATATGTATATGGATTAGTTACGTGTAATAGCTTGCTTTTGGGTGTATACCAAAATATATTTTACTTTTATTTCAATGTAATAATAAGATAGTGAACTGATCTATCAAATATATTACGATAATTACAGATTAGATCTAAGCTGTATAGATTACGTAAGAGTATGTATATCAAGCTAAAAAGCAGGAAACTTGGAAATATATAATGACATTTTTGAGAAGTACTAGTGACTATGTGTTAGGGGCATCTTCAAACAAATTTTCAAAGCTCAAAGGCTCAAAGAGTAGCTAGGAAAGATTCAGTTTCATTTTTCCAAATTCAACAACTAAAGCAAAATCCCTAACATCTGAAATAAGATTTTAGGAACTGTTTAAATATAGTTTAGATTATAAATAGCAATTAGCAATATAGTTAAAATAAAATTATCACTTAAGAAAAATGTTTATAAAAATGTTAAATTGTATCTTACAAAAAAAACATGTTAAATTGTCTTTTCTATCAAAAACGAAGACATGCAAATCATTTAGAGAAATATCAAATATTTATAGAACCATATTTTCAAATCAAAATATTCATGATGTGCTTCAAAATTCCAATCCCACGTTCGAGGATTTTATCTTTTCGAAGACGAGATACCTAATCATTTTTATTTTTATTCTTCATAAACATTATATTTAAAATAGATATGCCATGCATTGCAGAAGAAGAGAAAAATACGAATTAAAATCCTATATTATATAATACTCCCTTTGTTTCTAAAAAATTAATGTTTAGGAGATTTTCCGTAAATTAAGAAACAATCATGATTATTTTTCAAAACTTTATTTTCTCTCAACAAAAAAATATTATTTAATTAAAAGACAAAAACAATTCAGAAATTCAAATTTTATCAAATGATTAGTTCTTGAACTTACCAAAATATTAATATTAATTAATTAAAATCTGTAGAACATCAATCTTTATGAAACAAAAAAAAATCCTAAAACATCATCCTTTATGAAACGGAGGGAGTATATAGAAGACTTGGTGAAGCAATATATGTATATACTTTTGTCAAGATGTTTCTTTAAATGTTAATAGTGAACTTCATTCATTTTAGTCATACGAAGGTGGAATAGATGCTGCCTGCTGAGATGTAAACTTACATCTTTAACATAATCTTTATACGGAGACTGAACCTATTAGCCTACGTGGGTGACAATGAGTGTGTGAGACATGAGAAGTGAGAATGTGAGATTATATGTGTCTGTGTGCTTTGTATACCCACCTTTATCTATAGCTTTGGCGGGTAATGATTGATTTCGGATAGGCTTTGTAAGTAAAAAAGTTATAAAAAGTAACGGTAATAATAAACCTTTTTTGCCCATTAAGGGCCCAAACAAGCTTTTTTGGGCCCGAAGATCTGACTACATATATTAAGAAAGTGAAGCACGTGAAATGTATCGCGAGTCTTGCTTCTATCGAAGCCACTTTCATCATCAGGAGTCCAGTGCATACCAAATACAGAGAATATCTCAACCGACACATTAAAAGTAAGAAAACTCAACGTTTAGCTAATTGAGTCAGCACAATTATTTGTAGTCCAAAACAACAAGAAATTTGAACTCGACATTTAAAAATGTAGAGGCATACTTATAGCTATAATCCTATATATCAAGGTTCCAATTTGATCAGGCCTAGAATGTTAAAAATATAAATGTAAACAAAAAGGTTAGGTAGGGATTTTTATCAACGAATACGTCCACGAGATAAACGTTCATCAGAAGTTGTCCAATACAGTAACTTCCACACAGAGTGTAACGACTCCTTTACTTTAATGCGAATTTAAGCCCTTTCCTTCTTACTTGCAGTTGCAGTCAACAACAGTCTGTACACCGATCAAGCCAGCTGTAACCGGATTGGTTTTGGTTTTTCATACCTGAACCAGACTAGTTTGTCTACACGATGATGTGTTTCTTTAGTAAAGTAGTCTAGATTCATGTCAATATTATTGACTACACTGTTATAATGTAGTATTATTGATATGCAGAATCATACATATAGATACGGCATGAAATGCTTTGTGGACGTTTTGTGTATATCTCAAAACACTTTTTGTACTGAAAGTTAAAATAAATTGTATAAACGAAATTCTTAAAACTACTTTAAAATTGCTAGAAGCGCTTTAGATGCATTGTACCTAGCAATCAAAATTGTTAGTTAGTCGTAAAGTAGAAGATTATATTGTTTGTTTTTTTCCCGTCAAAGATTTACATTCTTTATAATTGGTAAAAGCCAACTGAATTAGTGAACTACTACTTTGTACAAATATAATATATTTTTATTTTCAGAAAGTTTCGTATGCACATATTCCTCATTCATGTGTATTTATATGGTACTGGTAATATCTTTTAAACCGTGTTATTTTTGTTTGGGTGACTTAAGTTGTTGAAGCTCCTCGTCACTACTGATTTGAACCCATCCTTGATGATACGTTTTGCCACCTATAGGCTATAGGTGTTTTGATCGATCTTCTACGTACTGATTAAAGTGTATCATCATCATCATATGGTACTCTCTAAAAAACAACGATTGCTAGTATAATACAGATCTTTTTATTTTTTAAAAGTATTTGTTGATGGAATATATATATCTACAAAATTTAGACCAATAAGTGAAGTGGATGCTATTGAATTTTTATGTTCAGAATTGGATTGAAATATTGAGTGAGAGCCGGGTAACCTTTCGTAATGATTTTATCAATTAATCATACAAATACAACCTATACTAAAGCATGCATGAGTAAAATTCCTTTCAGAAACTCAGTAATACGACTCTATTTTACAATGTGTCAATGATCGATGCCCAAATTGAGAATCTTACGTCATATATATATGAAGAGGTTGTTTCTCATAATAATCAAACAGTAATGTTCCAGTTTATTAGACTTTGACTTCTAGATAGAGAGAAATTGACAATTATATCATGCATGATCCACGTCGTCAAAGTAAGTACGAAAAGATCAAGAAAAACGATTAAATGAAACGTCAATATTCAAAATATTGTGGAAGAACCTATGATAAAGAATTGAACGTAACTATATAGTTATAACTTCGACTGGGTCCAATAGGACCGTTAATGGCACTTAATTAGGTTTTGTCGGTAAATGAGAGAAGAAATAATCAAAAGAGAACAATATTATAAAAAAATAGACTTACCAAAAAAAAATAAAAAAAAAATAGAAGTAATTAAGAGGTTAGGGCATAATAACTGCAATCGTGGAAAATGTAATCGAAGTGCATGCAAGATGATGAAATTGAAATTTGGGTCACCCAACCATATTTTGCAGATCCAAAGAAGAAGAACTTTAAAATAAATAAATCTATCTTTCTATATATAATTATATTATTTTTATTTTGGTAACAAATCATAACATCAGCAAAGTCAAACGCATACGCATACGTTTAACCAAGAAAATTTGAAGAACTAATTCCCAAAAACCGGTTTTTCAATGCAAGGATGTCGGTCCGAATGATGTATAATGTAATTGTCTAACAGAGATATTAATTTAATCGTGTCGGCATGCTCAGTTCTGTTCAAAACAACAAGAAGAATGCCATTATGTACAAAACAAACGTATGACAAGTTATGTCAAACAAAAATTAAAGACTGTTGATTTTAAGATTATCGGGTTGACGAAGTTTTTTTGTTATCACTGATTCGAGAAAAATGTTTTATCAATCGTCAATAGAAACCATTAAAAATTCTAAGATAAACCCCAAAGGCCAACAAAAATTAACGAGCAACTAGGAATGCAAATAATAAATATCATATTCGATAGAACACACAGAAAATACCAAAGTAGGTGGTTTGTGGATTATTTTTGTTTAAATAGTCTTTATCTTTCTTTTTAATTTATCGTTTTCTCGTCATAGTCAAAATTAAAATCACGCAAATTGCAGTGATCTGATTTATTGCTATGAAAGAATATATATATACTAATTCTGATTTAGCTTTCTTAGTGATATTTTAACACGATGTTTTGTTCAATATGTTCATTTGGCATACTCTAGAATGACTACTATATGGTCAACATTTAGTACACTAAGTAGTACTATTGTAGGCATATAAAAATATAAAAGATTATATGTTTATATGAAAAAAATATAAATCTCAGCGCAATAATCTCATCCATTATTGAGGAAAATTGCAGCTCAGGCCACCATCTACAATATTTGGAGGCAATGCAATAATCTCATCCATAATCAGCAAGCGCTCCAACCGGCCTCTATTTTCTTGCGTTTGGATAAGGAGATCAGAAACATAATCTCAGCGAGATATCATCTGAAGCGTTTCAGAAGCTTTATGCAACTCTCGTTGTGACGTTTTCACTTTTTTGTGAATCTTTGTAACTTATCTTCTTGTTTTCTTTTTTTGCCGAGGAACTTAAACCAATAGGCTTTTCTTGTAAAAGTCAAACGTTTTCATTTCTTAAATGATATTAACAGTTTAGCAAAACAAAAAAATAATATAAAAATCTATTCGCTTTTACGTAAAATCAAATGTAACGATTACATAAAACAATGTAGATGATAGTGATGAGGCGGCAACGATAGAACCATGGCAACAATATATTATAGATGATAGTGATACGGTGGCAACTACAAAGATTCAACATATGATCAAGGGAATATATTTTAATCTGAAATGTATGCTAATGTTTATGCATAGTTTAGAAAATATTCCTTTCCATGTGATATATATTAACAAAAACAAATACAAAAGAGGGGTTTTTTAAAAATCCAAAGATTTTGAAAAAAAAATATAACTTATAATTGGCTGGCAAACATGTAGACTGTGATATTCATTAAAACCGAAAATAATTATTTTCGAGATGAGACAACACATAGGTTACAGATTTGAAGGTTTTGATGATATCGTGATACTACCACATTACGGGTTCAAAGATAAGCGTCGACATGTGTTAAACGATTTGCTTGTGGACATTGGTATCTATAATAGTGGAAGGTTCTGAACTCCATGTTAGATATTCGAGGTCGAGGGTGTGAATATGATGTTGGCCGCAAACATGGATGCATAAAGGAACATGAGCTGATGTATGAGAATATATTATTTGCCCATGTGTCTATAAATGTGTGATAATGTGATTAGACTGTATTGATTGATTACTTGAATTTTGTATTAGCATGTTGGGCGAAAATAATTGTTATTACTAGATATGTTATTGATCTTGTCGTGCTTGATTAGTACATTATGTGCGAGGCAAATGAAGATTTTATAGACAATTCGAATATTATGGGTGAGAAACTATAGATTAAAATAAATATCCATGAACGTTATATGGTAAGATCAAGGAAGGTATAGGAAATAATAATGTATTATGTTCAATACAAAAATGCACAAGTGGCTAAAATGGTAACAATATCTAAATGCGTAATATATATAATTCACCATTTTTTGTTATTCACGATGGGTGCGTAATATATACAATTCGCTTTGGTACTACTATATGGTATATCCTAAGTAAAACCAAAAAGATCCTTTAGTACACATAGTGAGCAAATATTGACTAATATATATAAGAATCTCAAACAAAAAACACAAGGCCGTACTTAAACTTTCTTGTATACACTCTAATATATATTGCGACACAGCAAAAGGGAAAATCAAAAGTCAAAACGGGTGGCAAAAATGTGTAAAAATAAAGAAAGGAAGAAGAATCAATCAATTATGGCATGTGAGCAAATATAATAAAGAAGAAAGACACAAAGCAGACACCAATATTGTTGAGTCTTGTCTTCACCACCGCCACGACCCAACCCAACTCAATAGCTCTCTCTATCTCTCTCTCTCTAGTCTCTTTTATCACCATTTTCTTATCCGTTTTGTTTACAATCTCTCATTGAAAAGTCAAACCTTTTCATACGTCTCACGTGTTCTTTTTTCTCCACCCAACTCATCAGAGAAACTAAAAAAAAAGGTCAAATCTATGTTCCTCGTTCGTTCCTTCTATTAGAAAAATATTTCTAATAAACTTTTGGTTTTTTATATATGGGCTGGTCATTTTTTTCCTTTTTTAAAGGATATACTACTAGTTCAATAGGGACAGCTTTACAAAGAGTGTCTAATAGTATTTGTATTTTCCGTGTTTTGACTTTTTTAATCATCGTGAATCTTTTATGTCTCTCCTATATATATAAAACCCAACCTCCTTTCTCTCTTCTTCCTAACTTATTCAAACCAATTCACATCTTCCCAAGCTCAACTACTACAACTTGTACCAAGCAAAAAACTTATATAAAACTTGGTTTTGTTTCCTTCTTTGACCATTATATTCATCTTATTTCTCTCATCAAATCTCACAGCAGCATCTTCATCATATCTCCGGAGGATTAATGGATGAAGAGATCGAGATTCCTCCCTTCTTCCTTTGCCCTATCTCTTTGGAGATTATGAAAGATCCGGTGATAGTCTCTACCGGAATAACCTACGACAGAGACAGCATCGAGAAATGGCTTTTCTCTAGCAAGAAGAACTTGTGTCCCGTCACCAAACTAGACATAACCGACGCCGATCTCACCCCGAACCACACTCTTCGCCGTCTCATCCAATCTTGGTGCACCCTAAACGCCTCTTACGGCGTCGAGAGGATACCTACCCCGAGACCACCGATCTGTAAAGCTGAGATCGAAAAGCTCCTTAGAGATTCAGCCTCTTCGCATCAAAACCAGGTTAAGTGTCTCAAACGACTTCGTCAGATTGTGTCGGAGAACGCCACTAACAAGCGGTGTTTGGAGGCCGCCGGAGTACCAGAGTTCTTGGCTAACATCGTAAGCAATGACTCAGAAAATGGGTTAGGGAGTTTCACCGACGAAGCCCTCAACTTACTCTACCATCTCGAGACCTCAGAGGCAGTCCTCAAGAATCTTTTAAACAACAAGAAAGGTAACGATATCGTAAAGTCGTTGACGAAGATCATGCAGCGTGGGATCTACGAATCCAGAGTCTATGCAACTTTACTTCTCAAGAACATTCTTGAAGTAGCGGATCCAATGCAGATCATGACTCTAAAGCCAGAGGTCTTCACTGAGGTAGTGGAGATCTTGGACGACCGGATCTCACGCAAAGCGACAAAAGCCGCGATGCATATATTGGTGAACATATGTCCATGGGGAAGGAACAGACACAAGGCCGTAGAAGCTGGAGTAATTTCTGTGATAATCGAGCTTCTCATGGACGAGAGCTTCTCATCAGATAGGAGAGGTCCAGAGATGGCGATGGTGGTTCTTGATCTGTTGTGTCAGTGTGCTGAGGGAAGAGCCGAGTTCTTGAAGCACGGAGCAGCCATAGCGGTGGTGTGCAAGAAGATACTTAGGGTTTCGCAGACGGCAAGCGATAGAGCCGTAAGGGTTCTGTTGTCAGTGGGAAAGTACTGCGCGACGCCTGCTTTGCTAAACGAGATGTTACAGTTAGGGGTTGTATCGAAGCTTTGTCTTGTGCTTCAAGTAAGCTGTGGGGGCAAAACTAAAGAGAAGGCAAAGGAGCTGCTTAAGTTACACGCTAGGGTTTGGAAGGACTCGCCTTGTCTCCCAAGAAACATGGTTCTTGCATATCCATGCTGATGAAAAACCAAGAAAACAACGTACAGACATACAAACAAGTCCAATTCTCTATGAGTGCAATCACTTATATGAGAGTTATTCATCGTATGCTGTTGAAAAAAGACTAGTGGAGTATTCATATGATCAAATCCAATTTTCTTTAGTTTTCTTCTTTTCATACTTTTGATGTTCACAATGTAGATAATAGAGGTAAATGTTCATCAAAATATTCTTTCTATATATGGAAAACTGCAAATATATCAATGAAGTCACAGGTTACATGGCTATTCTCATTTCCCACTTGCATTCCATTATAATACGTATAAGTACCAACAATAATTTTCATATCTTTTGGTATGAACGAGTGATAAATGATTAGTATATATGTATAAGTACCAACCATAATTTTCTCTTTTGGTTATATACAATTTTTTTGTATACGATGCAATTCAGTATTGTAACATTCAAATTCAGATCAAAATTTTCCAATTTCTTAACTAATATATAATGCAGTACGGTACCTCGTTTTTTATTGCAAGAATCTTTGTATTTAACAACCGGGGCACATGGTGTTGGACTGTTGGTACATGTTGTTATAAAGAAAAACTCATATACGAGGGTACCAAAAAATCTTTTTTTCAGATCGCATCTGGTTGAAACTTCATTCTTCCAATTATAATAAGTTATTAATGCATTTCTAACAAAAAATAAGATCAGTTTGTTATACTTATGCGTCACATCTAATGACTAAAACTCTCGTTGACCAGCGAAACTAGAAACGTTGAATCACTACAAGTCGACGCAGACGCAGACGCAGTCGAGAGTGAAGAAGACAAACTTTTTGAAAAAGATATACAAGAAAATATCAACCTAAAAGGAAATATTAACAAAGAAGTTGACACAAATGAGGAGCAGGCCAGTCTAGAACCACACCAGCCACCCATCCTAGACAAATATTTTAAACAAGCAAAAGCTTGACCATCGTTTTTAAATGGTTGTATGTAATTTGAAGAAACAGTGATCACTTCTTATTATAGAAAAATAGAGAAGTAGTCATATATTGCGAGCAGCTCTAAGAAAACAAATCTTAGATGAGAGTTTAAAAGTGCAAATAAGAGGGGTCCAGACTGGACCACAACTGATAGCTGTAGATGAACAGTTCACAGACAGATTCAGAAACTCATAAATCAACAAAACATAAACAAAAAGTCTTCGACCTGATAAATTTAATAAAAACAGTTGTCCAAGCGAAAGCTACAGCCGATCACGATAAACGATTCTCTGATAACTTATTATCGAACCATTCTTCTTACAATATACATATATACTAATGATACTTTATACATCACATTTGCCATAGACTATTCTATAATAATACATGAGATCACAACAAACGACTCTACCTAATTAAACTATATTGAATCTTTATTAACTTTGCATGATCTATACTCTAATAAAAACCATATAAAATTCAAATAATACATACGATAGATCTAGACGACGTGGAAGTTTTGAAAGTATATTATAATTCACATCGTTTTGTTTATTCCTTTCCGTGGGACTTGGAGTAGTAATTGCGATCCCACCATATGTATTGCTACATATTTTAACGTCTCTATTCCTGAGAACAATAAGTTTCGTATCTGCAATACATATCCACATAATTTATACATAGCCATGCTTTTATGTTTTTGATCCATATGTTTGGCATATTTTGATACATAAGTAAAGTAACACACGCGCCGGTATGCATTTATTTACCGCATCCGCATGCAAACATATATCATAAATATGTGGACCGGACGGGACGGGACGTGAAGGACCAAACTAATTTGACGCCGCAATCGAAGACTCGTTTTTGTATTCCATCGTTGTATATTAATTAAAATTAAAAAAAATCACATGTCATTCAAGTTTAAAACCCTACGTTGCAGGCTGTGAAATCAACTCTCTCGATATCGCTCTCGGGAAATAATAATAGTTTTGATACACATACAAGGACGTAAGACAGACACGTAAAGCCCACTCTATGGATATAGTTTTTAAACCATTGACCTGCATGCTCACTATTCTTCTCTCGTTTTTTTTGTTTTTCCAAACCTCAACCTACGATTTTGAGTGTTTGACAATTTACCAAAACTATCGTGTACGTAAATTGTAAACCAATCGATAATTCGCAGACAGAACTAAAAAGCATGTCTGGTCTCTACTGCAATTTCTGGCCACATATATGGTTACTTACCTAATACTTTTTAAGCAAGTCCAAAGCGAATTCGATTCTTGCGAAAACGAAACGAAATAACCTTAAGACAGAATAAAAGGATAAAACAAGAATGAGATTGAGCCTTGCGAAAATGAGTGGCTCCAGTCCAAATAACAAAAGAGATAAAAAGAAGAAACTCAAGAGTAGACTTGCGTATAGATATGGTTGAGAATCGGTGAGAATCATAAAATATGCAGTTTTTAGACTATGACACTCATTAGTTGCACATATGGTTAGGAATTTGAACGAACGGATAATCTTCATTAGAAATTAAAATCAATTTCTAAGTCATACAGTTTAATTCAGCTAAACCGAAGATAACAGTTTGGATTTGTTTTAACTGGTAGTTCTTTCTTATTGTAAATCATGTAGCTCACATTCATTGATGTAATTTTCTAATTTCTCGGATCAATTCTCAAATGTAACCAGAGTTCATTCAACTCTCAACGGTGCCTTATAGCTTTCAGAGTTTCCCAAGATCAATTCATGGCCAAAGGTCTGGCAGAAGACAATATGGATCAGATGAAATGAGGATTACTGCTTGCTTACCTTCTCATTCATATGACATTTGAAACTACAATGCCTAAGTCAAAAACTCGACCTCTATTAGCAATTGCAAGAGACGAGACGAAATTGCCAGGAAGCAATAACATGTTTATTTTCGTTTCAACTTAAAACATTATAACCACAAAGAAAGATTGCAGCAATCGGAAATGAGATCACTACAAAACTCGGTCTAACCAAAACAAATAAGGCAAAACTTTTAACCACAACTCTTTATTGTAAATCCTCACTAATCAACAGCTCTAAACTACAACTTGTTTTATCTTTTAAAGTTAAAGCTTAGCTTTGAGTTCAACTATTGACTTCGTTTATCAATAATTAAGGTTTTTAATCCTTCCTACACTAAGATAAGACTCACTGATATTTTGCTTAATACCTGATGTTTCGGCTACGTAACAACTCCACCACAGCTGAAACCACTCCTTTTCCCTCCACAGTTATGTCCAAACTCGGATCCTCTATCTTCTTATTCAGAAGCTTGTCCACCTCTCCCCGCAATTTCTGCACAATCATATAATCCTCTTCACATCACGGAACAACATGCAGAACAAGAAAGATGCGACAGAGAGAAATCCAACTTTACCTGTATCAGTTCCAAGACGTTCTTCGAGGCAGAGAAATGGAGATACCCTCCCAACATCTCTATGCCTTCCCCGGTTTTGCTTGGGATAAGATTGCCCCCAAACATAAGGAGTGCATAATCTGATATGTTTGTTGAGTCTCGGATATAAACACTTGTCGTCTTCACCTTTTCACTGTAGACCAAGTACGGCAACGAGAAGAGATTCACTCTTGCGTTGACAGATCCTGGGTGGATATCAACTTTACCCAACTCTTTAGTGTAGAATGCAGTGCGCTTCCCTCTTCTTTTGCATTGCACAACATTTGGGTACAGCCCCGCACACAGAACCGCGCTTACCATCTCCATGTCCTGGCTGTATTGGTTGTACGCCTGAAAAGCACCATGCGTATGTGAAAAAGTCAGTAGTTTTAGATTCTATTATTGTTCCAAAATAATTGCATCATTAAGACTTGTTCTTGACACTTACATTTGGCCTTGATTTGTCAACAAAACCTATATCTGATAAAAGATCAAGAAACTGGTTTCTCATATCCTCCATCATCCTTAGAGTTACAGGGGAAAGAAAGTTTTGCCAACAAAAATCTTTTTCGATTCCACCACGCTTTGCATCCCGATATCCCTCATATGCTTTAAGAAGAGCAATGTGATCACTGCACAACACAGAAATACCAATCTTTTCTGTAAGAAGCAGAACACAGGGACCTGATTGACTAACTGGATGAAAATAAAGTAATTTGCCTCTAGGTCATACCTGCAGGAATCACCAGCAAAATATCTTTTTGCCTCATCAGCTTCCTCTTTCCTATTCAATGGTAAGACAAATGGGCTACGATAAGCCAGAGCAGAGGCAATTGTTAAAGCAGGATTGACGCACTGGAAGATGGCTCCAATCAGCAGCATCTTTCCTATATTTGGGTCTACTGGTAGAGTGCAAAGATGCCGACCTGTAACATGATGATTTTGAGTCTAACGTATATGAACAACTATTACATAAAAGTGTACAATTATATAGACAAATGACTTGCTGCTCACCAAGGGGTGTAAGATCTTCTATGTCATCTAAAGCCCCAATTGTTTTGAGAAGTTCAATAGCATTCTCAACAGCAAGTGCATCTGGTGGCTGCAGTGCCTTGGCCAAGAATGATCCTATGGATCCAACCTTCAAACTTTTGATATGCAGGCATAACTCTTGCAATGGTGTCCGTATGATTTCTGGTAACTGATACTGTGGGAAAGAATCATATATGACTTTTGGATACAGCCTATAACAAACTCCAGCTTGGACACGTCCAGCACGTCCTCGTCTCTGCATACACGATCTAATGGTTAGGCGCTGGTTTTAAGATCTTGCAAGCATATCTATGGATGGGGCGCAGGCGCAGTACTTAGATCACTGATAGACAATTTAATGGCTAACTGAATACCTGGTGCGCTGAAGCCTTTGAAATCCATGATGGCAAGAGACACGCCACCTTGTTCAAAGCATCATAGCTAGTTTCCTTTGCTTTACCGCAATCAACAACATATACAACATCGTCAATTGTAATACTACTCTCAGCAATATTTGTAGTCAATACTATTTTCCTACAAAAGCAGAGCATTCACTCAGAGCAGTTGCTACAATGCATACTGATAAAAGAAGAATCAATAGCTCATGTGCCTAACCGCTTATTAGGAGGTGGACGGTCAAAAATTTCACGTTGATTAACTGTCGGCATTGAACCATGTAGAGGAAGAATTAAGAACTTGCTAGAATCTCCAAGCAGTCTGTTCCCGTTGAATTTTTCAAGCAGTTTGGAAATCTCATCCCAGCCAGTGAGGAAGACAAGAATTGCCCCATCACCTTCATGACGGCAAATATGTTCAATAGTAGCCTCCACCTACGACATAGTTTCACTCTCAGTTCATAACGAGAATCTCCAACAAAATATGATGAAGTTAGCTGAATCAGCAGGTAGTTACCAAGAGGAGAGAGCAAAACCCATACCAGATCCAAATCAATCTGTGCACCAGACCATGCTTCGAGAGAAAGTCTTGTGGCTGAGCTATAACTTTTATAGTGAACATTGATGTCAATATCCTAAAAAACGAAAACATGACTTGGTAAGGTAAGGCATTCAAAGTAAAACATATTCACGTATGCTTCAGCATTTGAAGATGAACAAAGAGTGAAAGTTCAAGCTTGCTGTGGACTGCGGTTCTTTAAACTACTATATAGTACCGCCTTTATTCACTGAACCCACAAACTTAAACTACCACGTGGTTTTAGCATTTTGTTCTTGAGGTTTAATCTTTTCACGTACATGGAGACCAAATGTCTACATTTGCGTGATGTCAAAAGAAAAACAATTCTCGAGGCTAGTTGAATCAGACGAATAAACCAAACTTGGATGCAATATTGAAGAATTTGAGAACACATCGTTCTTAGCCAGTATCTATATATATTTTTCAAATATTGGTATCATAATTAATCCTTCTTTTTCTAAGGAACATTAAAAATTCATCAATAAGAATTTTAGGAAAATTTTGTCAAAAACATTACCATTGTACCAAACGATTTATAATGTTAATCTGATAGGTACATAGTAGATTTCTTGATAAGGTGTATGCAATATCTTTTAAATCGCACAGACCTACCCACATTAATGGGAGAAAGTTTATCAGGCTTACTATTCAGAACAATGAGTCTATATTCACTAATGGAACCCTATGTTTTTTTGCTCAGATACCGTTGGGAAGCATAGTCATACCTCAAACAAAGTAGTCAGGTCATCTTTCTTGGATTCTGAGTCTCTTCTCCTACCTCTCGAACTGCCTTGATAATTCCCTACATCAGATGGCTTTATATTATAACGACTTTTCTCCAGTACATCTTCTAGGAATAACTCTGCAACCGGGAATGTGAACCCCTGACAATATATTAAAAAGAGATTAATCACATAATATCATAATATAAACAGACATGATATATGACTACGCATACCGGGATGTGTATAGTTGGAGCGTTCCCGAAATATGTTGAGAACATGTCAGCATTTATCGTAGCACTCATCAGAATAAGACGCAAATCTGGGCGTCGAGGAAGGAGATCACGTAGTATGATTAATAAGAAATCCTCATTCATGCCTCTCTCGTGAATCTCATCCACAAGCAAATGGCTTACATTAGTTAAATTAGGATCCTCAATCTGTATTTTCAAAAAGATTCGACACAACATCATTTCAAAGTTAGTATACAATATTATAGTTCAACTAATGTGATGAGTGTATGACTAGTAGCATAGTGTATTTTACCAGCCGCCGGAGTAATACACCAGTAGTGCAAAATAGCAATCGCGTTTGATCAGAACGCTTTGATTCTAGACGAATCTGATAACCCACAGATTCACCAATGGATTCACCTCTTTCAGCAGATATACGTGAAGCAACAGATATGGCAGATATACGTCGAGGTTGTGTACAAATTATGTTACAATCAGCACCTCTTAGGGATGCTATTTCTTCCTCCAATATAAATTGAGGAAGTTGTGTTGTTTTACCACACCCGGTCTCTCCTGAAACTACTAATACCTGAAAAATAAACACAGACACAGCTATAAGTTCAAGGTAAGACTGCTCAAGTAAAATAACTTGACAATACTATATAAGATGAGATAAATAGCCGATGGGACACAGAGAAGAACAAACAAACAAAAAGATTACCTGATTTTCTGAAACAGATTTAAGAAACCCCTCTTTCATTTTAAAAGCAGGTAACTTTTCTCTGAAATCTTGAAGTGCTTTTACACTCTCGGTTGCCTGTGTTGAATAGTTTCAAATTAATGTTATGTCCAGAATCAACATATACCATAATGTATACAGTTTTACTTCAGCCAATATATATGTACCTTTAGCCTTTCCTGCCTTTCCCTGAGTGCAGCACTGAATTTTTCTTTCTCAAGAGAATCCGACAATTTGGAAGCAGAATCGGGTCTTTTCAAGCCAAGAGTTGCGGTGCCTGTACGGTCCTGTCGATCATTAAACGCTGAAGTAGAGGAACTTGAAGACCCTGATTCTTGTGTTGTTTTCAAAAGACTTCCAAGTTTTCTCTCAGTCTCTGTGGACATTGTAATCTACAAGAAAAGAGTATACAAGCGTTTCAGCAGCCACCACCGAGTAATAAAATATCCTTACTAGTAACATCTTTATTACCTCTTTCTGAGTGGATCCATGCCGATCATCAAGATCTGCGCGATAATCTGGTAAAGGAACTTTGCTAACTGCAAGAGCCTTCCCTTTATTGTAAGCATGGCTTCCTTTCCGAAAAGGAAAAAACTAATTCATGACATACTCTACAATTACTTCTACAAACGAATGCATGGGCTTATAGATAGATAGACTTACAAGTAAAGACCAAGCTGAAAAGCCATATCAGATAGTGTTTGTTGATCTCCCCTGCTAAAATTACGCTTGATTAGCATCTCTTGCTCTCCTCCTGTTTTCCATTGCTCAATCTTGTTCCACCATTCATTCTCATCAAAAACTTCCATCTGAACAATTGAATTTGATTCCCAATTAGCCTTTCTTTTAAATTCACCCAAACCAATAACTCCTAATCAAAGATTAAGCATCTCTTACCAAACTCAATCTGTTCAAACTCCTGATTCTCAAATATAAAACTAACTAGTCGAGGAAACAAGTGAGGAGCTAAAAATGGAGAAGTGAGTAAGAAGTCGGAACAATGTATTAATAATGATACCTCAACTTGTTGCTGGCGCAAACGCTCAGCTCTCCACACGGGATCCCACCATCGCTGTTCTCCACGGCCACCACCACCGCCACCGCCACGACCACCACCGCCGCCGCGACCACCACGACGACCACCACCGCGACCGGAGGAGAAACCTCCGCCTCGACGACCACCCTGAGAATTAGGACCGTGAGGAGGCATGGCGGCGATATGTAAGAGAGGCCGAAGCGGAAAGAGTTTTGAAGAATAAGGAAGAAGGAAGCGAAGCGTGGAGAAACAAGGGAGGGACAGTTGCATTCGTAATCAATTTTAGTGTGAATTTTATTTTTATAATATATAGAGTTGCAATCGCACTGACAATTTCGCTTGTTGAACTTTTCTTTTAGTAGTATTGGATTGGAGCTGTGTCACACTATACAAGCGACACAGACTTACCAATTTCAAACCTAATTTAGTTTCAACCATACAAGTACGGTTGTTTATACAAACAAAAAAAATTGAAAACCATGTTTTGTAATCATGTCATGAGCAGAAAAAACACAGCCACTTGTTTATTATTAGAAGAAAACATCTTCCAAACCAAAGATATGTAATCATCTCTAATATCTTTTTACCATTGCGTCTTCACACTAACACTCCACTTGTTAATGCAACTACTCTTTTCTTTTGCTATTTGTAACATGACAATAAAACACAAGCATGTCAATCTAACAATGTAACCAAAGTTTTCCTTGATACCTCATCAAAACTTTTCATGTCTTGTAAGTTTTGTTTGGGAAAAGAAAAGATTCCGGAATTTTAATATCGAAGGTAAGAAAACTAGATTATGGTATTGTACTATCCGGTCCAAAAATTATATGGTCTTAAAGGCCCATAAAAGTTTGATTTCCCAAGAAAAAAATGTTTTAGGAAGAGGGAAGCAAAACAACTCTCTCCGTCACAAAGTTTGGTTTGCATAAGTTGTCAATCGAATTAACATAATGTTAAACTAGCCACCATTATAATAAAATCTGTAAAAGTCACTGTGTGCATTCATTTAATCATTCTTCACCAAATGAATCCGCCCCTGGATGTATACGCAAAAAAAAAAGTATTATATACGTTTTTTTCCGCATAGTTACATGTATTTTATGTATTCTTATCATAGTGTATCTTAAAATAAACATCATGCAAGCATGCAATGACGCATTTTATTCATTACAACAACTGTCCCCTACCATATTGTTTTCCATTATTAAAGATTCCTCAGGTTTGGCGCCTATAACTTGGCCACACCAAAGTGCAAGAACGTAGGAAGTCAATTTGTATAGTTAGTTTTAACTTTGATTAATTAAAGATTTTAAGCTAATAATTTGCTAACATCATTTTTTACCTAATAAAAATGTAAACGGTCTTCAAATTGTTGTATTTTGATTTCGTCGAGTAGCATAAACTAAGACTTCTATAAGTTTTAGCATATACAACAACGTTTCACGGTTTTGGTTACTCTCTAGAAGACGAAAATAAAAAGTTTTTATTAAAAACACACCTTCTTCTTGGGAAATTTTATTTCTGTTTTTAATATCGGGGGTAAATCTATATTAATGCATGATTGTATGTTACTATGTTAGCATAGTTAATAGAAAGAAGAACTAGCTATAGCGATCGATTTTAATAGATGGTAAGTAAACTCGATTCATGGACTCATGCTCATGATTCATGAGACAAGTCGTCGATTCATTTGAAACTTTTATATATAAAATTTCATGTATATGGAGAGATGTCAAAGCTTTGTATCCGGAGAAACTAACATCAAAGTAGGATAAATATCGCGACTAAGAAAACAAATGAAGGAAACTAAACGTTGCTTAGGTGATAAAGTAAGTTGATTAATTGGACTTTGAATAAAGTAATCCTAAATAAAAACGATGATCAGACGTACATAATAAACAACGAGATTAATATGCGTAGCGATCGACGAAGATGTTGACTCCAAACTAAAAACTTATGTGATGATCCTTTGCCCACTGACCCTTCCCTACATTCCTAAATCAAATCTTGTTAATATACTTTACTTGTCATTATCGTAAAGGTTTCATCGTCTTTACACCATGTGACTTTTAATTATTCATGTTAACGGTTATAAATAATGACCAACTAATTCCTCTGTTATCAGGCACACACAAATGTACAGAAAATAAAATATTTTCTTAACCACACCAATATATAAATTATATGAATCCTATATCTAATACGTTAATTATGGAACAATATAAGTTTTTGACCTTAATCATCGCTTATTTATTTATTTTGAATTTTTATTGGAAACTAATGTTGTTACTGAATAATTAAGCGAGGTAATCTAGGAGCTTTTAATCATAGGGAGAACCGGAGAAACATTTGATTAATGGAACAATATAAGCGTTATACAATTGCTAATACAACTAATACACAATATTAGCAAACTTTAATAACAAAGATTAATTAAATAACCACAAGTCACACCATTCTTGCTTTGACAAGCTTTCTTATCCTCATTCACATGCATTTCCTCCCTTTGTCTCTCTCTCTTACCGTTGACTTTTGACAACCCCAAGATGCTTCAGTTTACATTGTCTTATATCAAAATCGCTGACCAAGCAAACCCTCCTCTCTCTCTCCATTATTTCTCCACAACCTCTAAGTTCCAATCACAAAACCATCACACCGCAGCCGCAATGAACACCTTCCAACCACCACCACCTCCGCCGCCAGGGATGCCAGACTACAACGGCCTCCTCAGCACGCACGAGATCGGAGGATTCAGATACGGAATCGGAGTCTCCATAGGAGTACTCCTCCTCGTCACCACCATCACCCTCACCTCCTACTATTGCACACGTAACCAGCTCTCTTCTTCTTCACCTTCACAGACCATTCAAGACTCGACGCGTATCCATCACCATCACCACCATGTCATCATCGACGTCGTACCCGGTCTTGACGAGGACACCATCCAGAGCTATCCGAAGATCCTCTACTCGGAAGCGAAGGGCTCAACGACGGCGTCGTGTTGTGCCATTTGTTTAGGAGACTACAAGGGAAAACATCTCTTGCGGCAGCTGCCAGATTGCAACCATCTCTTCCACCACAAATGTATCGACACGTGGCTTAGGCTCAATCCTACGTGTCCAGTTTGTCGGACTTCGCCGCTTCCAACTCCTTTGTCCACTCCCCTCGCCGAGGTTGTCCCCTTAGCCTCCTCTGTCGCCGCCACAAGGATGCCCTAATTAATATCGAAATCCTGACTAATCTCCGGCTTAAGCTCTTTCTCAATTCTTCATTAATTCCTTGTAGAGTTTTTTATTTATTTATTTTTGGTCACTAACTGATCAATATATTGTATATATCATTCTTCGAAGCCGAGGACTAGTAAGTGGAAAAGGGATTAAGGGTTAAATTTCACAATTTTGTTTGATTAATTAGTTTTTTCTTTCTTTTTTCCTTTAGCAATGTGAACGATCGAGTTTATTTCTCCTTCTACATATGTCGTACCAAAGAATAAATCAAAAGTCGTGTTGAATATAGTCGAGAGAGAGAGAGAGAGAGAGAGTCAGAGAGGCTTGAAAGATGTTTCTTGGCTTGTATTGAACTTTTTGGCTCAGCTGACAGATCATTTGCATATTGAAACGTCAAAGAAAAGGAAATTAGAGAGTCGAATCCATTAGGCGTTTGATCATGAATCATTATCAGTCTCTTTGACAATATTCCACAGTCATGGTTTTATTATAAAGTAGTTGTTAATGTAGCAATTTTTTTTTTTGTCCGTAATAAACATACTCTGGAGAATTTATTTATAAATCAAACATATGCATTAAGCAGATTTTTAACAATGTATTTGTGATTTGTCCTATGTATACGATATGAGAAAGACTTATATATGAGGACGTCGACTCATACGATGCAAATTATTAACATCATAAAAGAGTTAGCAAGTGAAAATTAACCAATGGAATAAAAATCCGCACACGAGTACAATATAAATGGGCTTAAGTATTCGGTTTTCCGGTTCAATTGATAAATGATACGATTCTAATTTGGTTTGGTTCGGTTCGGAATTTATGCCGACCCTACACCTCTGGTTCGCCGGTAAGTCGGTTTCACGAACAAAAAAGAAGGCGAGAGTATAAAAATCAGAATCGGAAGCTTCGAGTTTTACTTGAGGAGAAATCCATACACACGCAAAGAAGAATCTCATCACGAGTTTTTGAGCTATGGGTTGGGTTTGGGTTGACGATTCGTCCGCATCTAAAGCCGGTAACGATCTCACCGATCAGCCACTCGGTGATTCCGCCGTCGCCGACCGAAATTGCTCAACCACCACGGTGGTAAGATCGCAGTGCAATACAGAGGAGGTCGAGCCTGGGAAGTTCGTCAGGAAATGCGATAAAACTGAGGAGGTTCTTCGCCACTGTCTTGGCAAGTAAGTGTGTTTCGCATCTTTTCTCTTTCAGTGATGCTTTGCTTTTGGATTTGGGGAACAAATTATTGGCCTAAGTTAAGATCAAATTAGATGTAAGTTTATGCAGGATGAGTCATGAGTGTGTTGGTTGTTTTTGAGCTCTGAGTTAAATTACAAGTTCAAGCTAAAGCTGTAGTTCCAAATTTACGGATTACGGTACTAAGAATGGGATTAGGATTGGGGTTACTAGCATGTGTATGAATATAGTTGCGTTTATGCATTTAAAATGGTGATATTTGCTTAGTTTTGGTTTCCCCTCTTGTGGTGGATCATGTTGTTTATTTTTGTTTTGCTCATGTGAAAGGAACCTGTATTATCTCTGGAACATTATGGTACAAATTTTTCATTCTCAAAAAGAGCATGTATCTTAGCTTTAGATTAACCACTGAAAAAAATATAATGATTTCTCTGAAGTTCTTGTGATTTTGTCATCTTTTAAGCGTTGTAAGTACTTGCATGTTTTGAGGGTAAGTAAGTGGAGTAATTGCAGGGGTTAGTCTTGTCTCTCGCGAGAAATCATTGTGGTCTATGGGTAGTTTACTTAGAAGTTAATTCATGGAGTACTATCACATTATAGTTCTGTATATGTGCAGCCATCTTCTTGTTTGTTTTTTGCGTTCTGCTTCTGACTTGAGCTATTTTATGGTAACTGTGAAATGGTTTCTTGCTTTGGTGACCAACTCTTTGAGTTAATATCATCAGACCTCTTGTTCTCTATACCTTTTACTCCATCATGAATTATGATCACTTAATTAATTTCTTGGTTTTATGTATCTGGTTTAGGCCCTCTGAAGTCGTCCAGTCCAACACAGTGCACACAGAAGAGGATGTGACAAACCAGATGGTGGGGAGACCCGGTCTGTTTGAGGAAAAAAATCCACTAAACTTCCCAGGACTCCGCGGGGATGTAGACGCCATCGAACGCCATTTCATGAGCGGAATGAAGAGTTTCTTTGATGCAGCTGAAGAGATGACAAGCAGCTTATTCGATATCATGGGAGACCATAACCCAAGCAACAGGAGAGGGATACCCATTGAAAACCATCCAAAGGTAGAGGAGCACCACAATGACGAAAACGCCCCCAGACGACCACACTCGGGAGAGGTTGATCTCTCGGGCTTGGCCAAGGACGTTTGAGAAAGGTCATCCATCTACTTCTTCTTCTATCGTTGGCTATATATAATCTTAAAATGTAATGTTTGACTTTCGAAGAAGCGTAGGGGATTGTGGACTACTAATGTTAGCGGCTTGCACGTTTTGGCCGAGTGGTTACTACTATCATCTATCATCCATACTTATATTAATATGGTGTTATTTTTGTCTTTCTTAATCACCAACCAAAATATATTACTGATCACATTTGTCTCGAGAGTTATCTTACATTTAATAGGGATTACTTTTGTCTCAAAAAAAGACAAAAGTTATCTTACATTTATAAATATTAGATCATGCCTATAATTCGTACTTTCCATTAAATAATGGTCAAAGTAGAATTATGGAGTGTGGAATTAAAGATACGAAATCTAACCTTACGTTTTCTGAAAGATTGGTTACCATTTTTTGTGGCATGGAGTAATTCAGAAAGAAAAACAAGAAATATATTTATTCCGGTCTTCGGTTGAGTTGAATATATTTCTTAACAATTTCGGAAATTCCAAGGAACCGAACTGTTAACGAATGTGTGAATGTGCATTCACACAGAACACTAAATAATCCTTAACACACAGCCTCACAGAGTCATATGTTAGGTTTTTTGGTTAGAGGAGAGAATCAAATAAAAGTTAATTTAATTGAGAAAAGCCAAAAACCCTAATAAATCCCCCTAAAAAAAAATCCAGTCACGACGTGATACCCAATTCGATTTCGTCAAAATCATCTTCCTTGTCTATTCCCATTTCCTTATTCTTATATTTTGTTCTTCGTTTTTCATTTGTGTGTTGCGTGAGATGATTCGTAGAGTTTTGTGTTGATTTTTTATTAAATCATTGAGAGGACATCGAAGATCTTTCTCCCGTGGATCAGATTTCATATTCTGGGAGATTTATCTCATGGAAGTAGTTATGGTGTTAGGCAGGAGAGATCTTTGTCTCTATGAGATCAGATTAAGGGTTATTTCTCTTGCGTGAAAAGGAAGAAAAAGAGACTTTCATTTATCTTTTATCTTTTTTTTTTCGTTACTTTTGTAGACTATATATATTGTATAGCGTAAAGTTGATCTGTGGGGATATAGTTTTTTAGTGATGGGGAATGTATGTGTTCATATGGTCAGCAATTGTGTTGATACGAAATCGAATTCATGGGTTCGTCCCACAGATCTCATCATGGATCATCCCTTGAAGCCACAGCTCCAAGACAAGCCTCCTCAGCCAATGCTTATGTACAAGGATGGTGATAAACCCAAGCTTAATGACACTCATGGAGACCCTAAATTATTTGAGGATAAGGCGAAAGTAGATGCGCAGAAGCAGGAACAAGAAGGAAGGATGAGTGAAACGACAAGGAAGTGCAGTGAAGAAGAGAATAATAGGAAGCGAGCGGTTGGGATTGCATGTGCTAATAGCAAAAGAAAGGCTCACAACGTTAGGAGACTGATGAGCGCAGGGTTGCAAGCAGAGTCAGTGTTGAAGACCAGGACAGGGCATTTGAAAGAATACTATAACTTAGGGAGCAAGTTAGGTCACGGGCAATTTGGTACGACTTTCGTCTGCGTGGAGAAAGGAACAGGGGAAGAATACGCATGCAAGTCAATCCCGAAGAGGAAACTAGAGAACGAAGAAGACGTGGAGGATGTGAGACGAGAGATTGAGATAATGAAACATCTCTTGGGGCAACCAAATGTGATCTCTATCAAAGGAGCTTACGAGGACTCTGTGGCTGTTCACATGGTGATGGAGCTGTGCAGAGGAGGTGAGCTGTTTGATAGGATAGTGGAGAGAGGGCATTACTCTGAGAAAAAGGCTGCTCATTTGGCTAAGGTCATACTTGGTGTGGTCCAGACTTGTCATTCTTTAGGTGTAATGCACAGAGATCTTAAACCTGAGAACTTTCTCTTTGTCAATGATCATGAGGATTCGCCTCTTAAGGCTATTGATTTCGGGTTATCCATGTTCCTCAAGCCTGGTATGTTTCTTACAAAACAGAGATTTTGTTTTCCTCTCATATATAGATAGATGTTTTGCTGAGATATGTATATTGTTGTTTGAAGGAGAAAACCTTACGGATGTGGTTGGGAGCCCGTACTACATTGCTCCTGAAGTTCTGAACAAGAATTACGGTCCAGAAGCAGATATATGGAGCGCAGGTGTGATGATTTACGTGCTCCTGTCTGGTTCAGCTCCGTTTTGGGGAGGTAAGATTCTTCCTACTTTGATCACAAACTATATGTGTTTTTGGAGGTCATCTCATGTGTGGTTGCATGTTTTCTTCAAGCAGAAACGGAAGAGGAAATCTTCAATGAGGTTCTAGGGGGTGAGCTTGATCTGTCATCAGAACCTTGGCCACAAGTTTCTGATAGCGCAAAAGATTTGATTAGAAAGATGCTTGAAAGAAACCCCAAGCAAAGACTTACTGCTCAACAAGTCTTATGTAAGTCCCTAGAATCATGAAACTCCAAAACTTGAGCAGTTATGGAACTTACTCTTGTTTCTTTTTTCTAACAGGCCATCCATGGATCAGGGATGAAGGAACTGCACCAGATACACCACTTGACACAACTGTGTTGACTCGCTTGAGGAAGTTTTCAGAAACAGACAAACTCAAGAAGATGGCTTTAAGGGTACCTTATACAAATAAAAGCTTTTTGATTTGTTTCCTCAGATGAGAGAATCTCTGATCATTAGTACTGTTTCCACTTGCAGATGATTGCAGAAAGGCTTTCAGAAGAAGAGATCAACGGGCTTAGAGAAAACTTCAAGATTATAGACAGTGAGAAGAGCGGGCGAGTAACTTACAAAGAGCTGAAAAGCTGTCTTGAAAGATTTAACACAAATTTTGACGACTCTGACATCAGTAGTCTACTGAAACTGCCAGTAAGCAGACTAAAGCTAGTACTGTCTCAATATATGGATCTAGTGATCAGAATATAAAGTTGTTTCATATTATTTTCTTACATTTATATATTGGGATAATTTTATAGACGGATGTGCACTTGGAAGACACGGTGGACTACGAGGAATTCATAAGGGCGATTGTGAGACTGAGACAAATACAAGACGAAGAAGCAAAGGACCATTTAGATTCATCAGGAAAAGTGTAAATGAAGTTGGCGTGAAAGATACTGTTGTCTAAACAAGTGTAACGAGTACTCAAAACTGATGATGACGAAATGTAAGTAAAACTGATCATCACTCTCTTTTCATATATATTCTTCAGTTTTATTTTATACAGTGTCTCCTAATGCTAATAATAATCTAAAGTGTTAATTCAATAGTTTTCAAAATTATAATCTGTAATCTTCATATATGTTTAGATTGTCGGAAACTACAAGAGGGCTGTGACAAAATGAAAATAGGAAGAGGCAGAGACAAGGAGAATAGGGACACAAAGAAGCCAGATGTATGTGAAAAAGACATCAAAAGAAAAAAAGAAGATGTGTAGGTTCTTTCGTTAATCATGTTTTTATAAGAAAAGAAAAAAGTTAAGAGCAAAATGAAAGAAGTGGTTTGTTGTATATAGAAGAAGAAGAAGTTGTAGTAGAAGGATAAAGGAGAGACAATAAAACTATAAGGTGATGTTGATACTCTGTCTCAGCTCCAAAATTTGATTGAAAGATATCACCGTAAAATACTTTGGACGAATCCCTGAATGATTGATACGTGTTAGTAAATAGTATGAAAATGGCCATATCTGGGAGATGATTGAAAAGATCTGACGGTGGAGGATTCATTCAGACAGGAGATATATACTTACGTGGAAATGGTGGAGACAGACAGCTCACGCGCGGCTGGCCGGCCCTTTTATTAAAAAAAAAAAAACGTGAAAACCAATCATGTGAAAGTGTCGTGACACGTCAGCAATAACGGACGAGGAGTAGTGGGGTCCAGAAACGGCGGGTATGTCGTGGGAGAGGTTCGCTGTAACGGAGGAGACGAGACGACGACCCTCTCTCTCTCTCTCTCTTTCACAACCCACGTTCTCCAGCATTTGTCTTCCTCAATCATTTGCTCTCTATTTACCATTCTACCCCCCTTACCTTTTACTCTTTTGACTCACCTTTACTTGAGATTTCGCAGCACCAGGAATAGACCAAACCTAACACCTAATTGGAAAGTTAGACTTATTAAAGTGTGTTTTTTGAGAATCTGTGATTATTTAGGGAGGGAGATCTTCTAATTAGCTGTCTTATAATTTTAATTAAATTAGTGTGATTTTATTAGTGTGCGAGAGAGATAGAGAGTCAAAGACCTAAACAAGAAAAAGAAGAAGGGCGTTTCCGTAATTTGATTGTTTTGTTTGTCTACAATCTTCTCTCCTTTGACGTTGAAAAAGCCCCCATCTTTTCCCTTTGCTCATTCCCACACACACACAGACACAGACACAGATACAACAAAGACTCGCTCTCTTTCTTTCTTCTTCTCTTTTTCTATAGAGCCATACCCGAAGCTTTTTTTAAGTAGAGAGAAAAAAAAAAAAAAAAAGCTTTGTCTTTCTTACTCCCACTGATAAGGTACTTTTCTGTGGAATTTTCAGCCATTTCACTTTGTCTTAGTTACACAACTTTTGTATGAATCTTTCTTCTTTTTGTTTTCAGATTTTTAGATTTACACTCGTGTGTTTCTTATACCTCTCTCGAATACTTAGGCACAAGGTTTTCAAAATCAGAGCTTTTCGCTTAACGCTTCAAAGGGTTGGCCTGTTTTTATGAATATGGTGATCATTTTCATGATAATGGGTGTGAATTTTATGATTTTTACCGCTTAAATACAAGATTTAGATTAGGTGTCGTATGTATTCCCTTAATCAATCACCATTTGCAGACAAAGAAGAGAGTTTTTATTAGTAGATTTTTTTTTTGATTTTCAATGATTTTTGACTTTAGCATTGCTGTGTAACAATGTTTGGTCTTTCGGATCAGATGGAACAATGGATGGCTACTCAAGACAACAAGGTCCATCTTTAGTTTGATTAAGGGGTTCGGATCTGAGCTTGAGTTCGAATTTTCACCATCTTTGTCTCGGATATACGTTTTTGTGGATTTGGAAGTTTTGAACTGAATGGCTTCTGAGGACTTGAGTGTTGTTGCCGAATCTAAGAAAGGGGAGGAGAATGTTAATGTTGATAACTCCAAAGATATGAACAGACCCGAGAGTCTTGACATATCTACTGAGATAACTGATACTGTCAATGAGAATGTTCCAAAAGATGAAGCTTCTAAGACGGTACAGGTATATAATGCTTCTTACAAGACTTGACTCATTTTGAACCGTGCTTTGTTAGTCTAACGTTCTCTCTTCCGTGTCATTCTCTCTGCAGGAAGCAGATCTCCCTGAGTCTGCTACTTCAGTGAAGAGTAAAACAACTAAGGATAACAAACCTGTTAAGAGAAAGTCAGGGACCTTTTCTCGGAGCCCCAGATTCCTTTCTCAGAGCTCTTCATTTCCAACTAAAGGACCTCATTCTGATATTACTAGAAAGAGCATTGATGCTACAGCATCAAAGACTAGTCCTAAACCCTTCGTTGCAGGTGGATCCAAACCAAAGGTCACTCCAACTTCAAACAGCAGTGTTTCCACTAAGCGCACCAGTTCAGTATCTGCGCCCCTCAAAAAGCAAACTATGGTAATTGTTGAATTACTCAATCTGTTGCGTTCGTTGTTTTAAGTTTTCTTGTTCTCAGTTTATCAATTTTTATCTGTCCTGTGTCAGCCTGTGAAAACCATTTCTAAGGATGCAGCTCAAGGCCCTACTTCCAAGTAAGTTAAATACTTTGCTCATATGAACTATGTAATTGTGGGATGATATAAGTCAACTAAGGTACTGTCTGAAAGTGATGATCTGAATAGGCAACTAAATTTTTCTCCCTCGGCAATTGCAGATTGGAAGATGAAGGTTCTAAATCCATTAATGCTGAAATGGCAGGCAAGGATAATGAGGAAGCCGGATTAATCCCTGCTGTGTAAGTTTTTTCTTGCATACATGTTACCATTAGTTTCAAATGTAGAAATGTTGCAGTACATTGAAGAAGTAAAACATATGTAAATGTGTATGCATCTGTAATTTTGCAGGGTTGCTGATAAAGTATCTAAATCCCTGAAAGTTGAAATGACAAGCAAGGACGATGATGACACCCGCTCAACTACCACTTCGTATGTGTTTTCTTTATGCATTTCCCTTGTACAGTAATGACATATCTATCTCTATATATAATGTTTTGGACGTTTAACAGAACTTCTACACCTCGTGGCCGGAGAAGCAGTGTTGGGTCGGCATCTGGATTTTCGTTCAGGTTGGAGGAACGGGCTGAAAAGCGGAAGGAGGTTGCTGCTTATGCTCATTCTCTATGCTTACAACTTTTTTAAGCAGTTTTTTTTAGTTCCGTCCTAACGTTTTTCGGCTTTACCTTTCAGTTTTATATGAAATTAGAAGAGAAGATCCAAGCAAAGGAAGTGGAGAAGACCAATTTGCAGGCAAAATCAAAGGTTAACTTTTGAGGGCTCTTCTTTGATAGAAGAAACTGTTCTTTGTCAGACATTTACATTTTTTGGTCAAAATGGATTGTGTTTGTATAGGAGAGTCAGGAAGAAGAGATCAAAAGGTTGAGGAAGAGCTTGACATTCAAGGCTGGTCCTATGCCTAGTTTCTACAAAGAACCTCCACCTAAGGTTGAATTGAAGAAGGTTTGCGTCTTTGCTCTTCCTATGTGATCAAACTTGTCCTGAGCTGTCTTTCTTATATCAATGTGTTGGCTATGAATTGTTGCAGATACCAACTACTCGTCCTAAATCTCCTAAGCTAGGACGCAGGAAGAGTAGCAGCGATGCAACAGGAGGTGAAGCCGCTCCTCGTGTGACAAAACCAAAAGAATCATCAGCATCTACACTGAAGAAGCCCGTAACAAAATCTCAGCCAAAGCCTGAAACTCAAGAGAAGTCAGGGAAGGCCAAAGAAAAGAAAAAGGAAGGGAAGAAAGAAGAAGCAGAGAAGAGAGGAGATGAAGAGAAGGCTACCGCCGTGGCTGCAGAACCGGAAGAGAAGAAACCAAACTCAAACAGCATCCAAGTGAAGGCCGCCGAGATTATGGCAAGCGAGGTTGCAGTGGGAGGTTGATCAGAAGCAAAGTGAGCGTTTGGCAGCAGATATCTAATGTCTGCTTCTTCTTTTTTCCTAAACCATTAATGTGAATAGAGTTGTTGCGTCGAGTTTTTTTTTTTTTTTTTTTTCCCTTACTTTTAAGAGTTTACTTCATTCCTTCAGTTGAAATTAAGCCTCAATTGCTTCTTAAGATGGTTCCCTAATGTGTTGAACTAAAAAATGTGAACATATATTATGAAGAGTTTGTGATATGTGTGAATTTGAGGAGTAGTAAGTAGCACAGTGATGAGTTGTGCAAATTATCAATGTCAAAGGAGAGAGGCTTGTAGGGTCTTTATTTACAGCAGTACAGCTGATGTAAATAATGTCAGCTACAAATATCCTTGTGGGGTATTCCATATTTAGAACATGTTTTGTGGTGTATAATGACATTATACTCTTTGATCAAAAAATGACATTATACTCTAAAAGTCTTTTAACTATATTTTACAAACTTAAATCTGAACACACAAAAAAAACAAGAACCAATACTAGTTTCATGGTACCATAACCATGCAATGTTCAAGATTGTTAACCAGTTTCTTAGTATTTACAATTGTTTTGTAGGTGGTAGATAGATTAGTTTACGAATGTCGAGGTTAGTAATACTTTGAACGAAATGTTCTTATGTACATTCATGTACTTAAATTAAACATTATGTAGTAATGTGAATATGTAGAGAAAGAATATAGTATTTAGTGATAGACTAATAAGATTGCAAAAAGACATTATGTATAGAGAGAATGAGGGCTTTTATTACGTGAAGACAAAAGCCCCACACAGCTCACCTGCCCTCGTGGCCAGTGCCCACTTAACTTACTCTACGACTTCCTTATATCTTCTCACCGTCTTAATAGTACGTAGTAACACTTAAAGATTCGTGTCCTTTAGCCTTTAGGCTTTGTGAATGGGAAATATCTGGCTGTCAAACATATATGTAGTAGGAAACTTCTTTTTTTTTTTGTTCTTTCTTAATAGCTTTATATAAACAAAGCATATACTGTTCTCCAAAGAGTTTATTTAAGTGTTGTAACCCTAGTTAATTACTGTATATAGATAAATACGTAATTTCTTTTTTTTTTTTAGTTTTTAGGTATTGCATAGTATTGCATAAACAATAAATAAATAAATACGCTGACTTTAGGACCAGATGAATAAATTGTATGGTTTTAAAATAATAATGATAGATACAGTATGTTGATTGATGTATTAGATTACATGTACATTACAACTACCATGTCCAATCACACATTTTATATATCCAAAAAAAATATGTTGACAGACATTTGTATATCATATTCAAAAGGGTGATGACAATAATGTGTTTGATTGCTTGGTAATTAAAGAGAGAATAGGCACACAAATTGGATCCTTCCTTTATTATTCCCATATATAGATAGTTGTAGTATATAAACTTGCATATGTATTACATATATTGACTTCTCTAACCCCTACTAAACACAAACTTCATCAAAATCTACTGTCCACGTATTTTTTATATATATTTTATCATATTAAAAAAATTACAAATAGAACATGCCAATCGCAACGAACCCAAAAATCACATCATTTACATATTTCAACTCTTTCTCCTTTCTTTTCTTTTTTTCTTCTTGAGATGTTTACAGAATAAAGAAATTGTAGAAGCTCGGATTTTTTCAGATTTTTTTTTGATAACGTGTAAAATCACTGACACGGAATAAACCGTGAACCCATCATTCTACAAGCTACCTCCATCAATTTACCTGCACATATAGATTATCAGTAACATTTACAAATAATGAAGTGCAATGAATATACATGATTAGAAAACAAACCCAAAAGACAGAACAAACAAAGAAAGAAAGGGTTTGGTTTGGGTTTTAGTGAAAAAATTAGACAAGCTGTCATTAAACGACCAATGTGTCTCACTCACAGCTTGTCTTTTAGAAAAGCATATAATAAAGAATAATAATCACTAATTTTAATGATTTATACAGGATTATTCGTCGGTGGGTTATATAGTAAGCTAATATGTGGAAGAGTTTTTGTCTTCATTCTCTTGCAAGACTCTCTACTTTATTCCAAATCCCACATGTTTTACTTACTTCTACTATCATTAAACGACCATACTGATGGCGCTAACCTATGTAATTAATGTTTCATTCCAAACAAGTAGTAATGTTTAAAATAAGAATTTTTGACACTTAATGACACAAGACAATGATGCATTTTTGGGTTTAGATGTCAAAATCATATATTTATTGACCGAAACATTAGAATCTGAAAATAATCGTAACAGAAGAGTAAATATGTGAAAATATATATATTTACCTCTTCTTGATTTGGCAACTTTCTTAACGACCGGAGAAGCGGGTTTAATCTCCGTCGCCGGAGTTTCCTCCCTCGGAAACAAGACTCCGTCGATACCCTGTACTGAAATCCGACCGTCGGTGTAAATATCAGGATCGAACAAGTAAGCAGAGCCTTCACCGTGTCCGAATTTGACAGATCCATCGGCTTCTTGAGCCAACACTTTGTGTGGGAATCTCAAAGAATCGTACTTCACTTTCCCAAATCTCCGAACAGCGTTGTACATACTCTCTTCCGTTTGATACTCCGGTATGATGTGGTAATACATAATCTGTTCTGGAGCACCTGGCTCGCTAAGCTGGTCCGTTGTGAGCTTAGCCATGGCTTCGTCGTTGGGTGCAAGAACGGTTAAAACGTAGCCTTCTGACACGAGACGTCCCATCTCGGTGGCTAAAGAAGTTAAATTGACGAGTATGTCAGCCATCTCGTTGTAGCCACCGTAATGCAATAGAGTGTGGATGAAATCTTTGACTTGAGCTTCGCCGTTGAAGTGGCCACGTGGACCACCGGGTCCGGGAGCTGGAGCCGGAGCTAGGGAAGGACCTGGTGACATAGCGTCGAAGATTGGAAGAACCGGAGGAGCTCCGGCGGGGACGGAGGGAGCTGGTTTCTTGAGACGGTGGGTTCTTGGGTCTACTTCAGGAGCTCCTTCTGGTATGACGGCGGAGATTGAGCGGAGACTACGACGGCGGTTGAAATCTTCTTGAACAGAGCGAGGGATGAGAAGACGTTCGATACCGTGGATGATACCATCGGGTCTGATGACGTCATCGGGACGGACTAGCTCTGCCGAATCGACCTTTAAAGTGTTGGCATCGACGGTGAGGTGGAGATGGTCGTTGGAGAGAGTACGGTGGTGGTGAGAGAGGGAAGGCCATTGAGGAGAAGAGATTCGTTTAGGGAGAATGTGGAACATTAATAAAGATTGTAAAGATTTGAGATTTCTTGGTTCGAGCAAGAAAGATTTGAAGAGTGGGTCTAAGTTTCGTTCCAAGGCATCGTTGCGTGGTGCGAAGATTGTGATGTTGTGTTTACCAACTGCTTCTTCGAGGGTCTGGAGAAGAAGGGCTTTCTCTACTAGTTCAGCTAGCTCTGTGTAGTGAGAGTCGAGGAGAGCCACGAGGACTGAGTTCGAGTTTATTTGACCCGATACAGGTTTGTTATCGGGTAATGCGGTGGCAATGGAGGCGGCTAAGAGGAAGAGAAGGAGCTTTGTGACGACGCCATAGGAGGAATCCATGGCGGTGGAGAGAGAGAGAGAGAGAGAGAGAGAGATGAGAGAAGAAAGAAGTGTCGGCAAAATGAAGAATTGGGTTTGGTGTATTTGCTTGTGAAGAAGGAGAGAGAGAGAGAGAGAGAGAGAGAGATTCTGATGCTGATGTGAAGTTTCTTCTTTCTTTCATTAAAAATATTTTATTTTTTTTGGGTGGGTGGCTTTTTTTTGGTGTTTTAATATTTTTTTGGTGAGGGTAAAAAAAAGGTTTGGGTCTACACGAGAAGCAAAGGTTAAAAGGTACATGTCGTCGTGTCAGCTGATGCCTAACAAGGAGACTCTCTCTCAGACAAAAGGTTCCTACTTGCTTCTGTTGAAACAACTCAGCACTGTGTCTCTGTCTTGGAGCCTCGTGTCGTATTCTGACTCGGTCACCATATCTGAAGTTCACTTGAAGTAAACACTTTCCATCTTTGTATCCTAAAAAAATATAAAGAACAAATCATAATGTTTGGCTTACAAATCCAAAACGTACGACTCAAACAATTGTATATCTAATAATTAGCTGCTATGAAATATATATATTTATGCACCTCAGAGTTTTTAAATATGTTAGTGATTATGTTTCATTGATGCAATGCTTTTGTGGCGATTTTTTTGTAGTTTCGTTTCATGGAACTATTTTTTAAGTCTTACAACCATAGAAACACAAAAAACGTTTGGTGGTTTGTTTAGCAAAAGTATATAATAACCCTTAAAAAAACTTTTTAAAAGGCTCGGCCACAACTGTACGTGGATCCGATGATCACTTGTCGATCTCGGATTCTCGATTCACTAATCCAAACACCAAAGAACTGTAGTCTGTTTAGTAACATTTGAGGGATTTATGAAATGTGTTATGTAAATAGAGCACTTGTAACTCTCATGGCGTCATCGTCTCTAGGTTTCCACGTGCTCTTTTGATTTGTGTGGATTCCTTCCTCATCATTCATTACTCTAAAAGCTTAATTACAAGATTTTATCGAATGGATTAGCACTGCGTTGTAAGTGTTCATGAAGCGAAGTTATTTTGTAAACCATATATAATCCATTTTCGTGGATGAAAATTTTAGAGAAAAGTTTATATCCAAATGACTTTTAATTTTCTAAAATTATTAGCAGTAGATACATATAACCATGTACTGATGAAACTCCAAGTCTCCAACCAAAAAAAAATATTAATGAAGGAAGGTAAGATGTCTTTCGTCCAAATGTGTCGATTTAAACTTTTGATCTAACATTGTGTCATTTTTAATAACAAGAATCTTTGTTTATAAGACTTTTAGCCCAAAATGCATTCAACGTTGATAAATTTTTACTCCTACGTACGTCAATAAATATGACAATGAATAAATACATCTTGAGATGGGGATTTACATTAACTTGATCAATAAATGAATATGGTTGTTAAGTAATTAAGTTTTGTGAGACATATGTAACATACATAATAGGGGGGTCTCATCGATATGTGAAGATCATATATTGTTTTTACCTTTTTTACGCAAAGCCTTTTAGCAAAAAATAATGAAAAGTAGGGTTTGCTTTAGCGTACGTGTGGGTGTGTGGGAAAGTCGTAACGTATGATTGATTATATAAAAACTCGTTTTCATCGTTAATAAATGATCAGAAACGGCGACATTTCTCCTGCCGTTAGATTTGCCATCGCCTTCGAACCGACACTGTCTTTGGTAGCTGGCTTTGCTTCTTCTTCGATTCCAAGCTCCGTTCCGAGTCTGATCAGTCCCACCAAACATTATAGACACAAAACAAATCTTCAATCAAAATTACCACAAAGAAAAAGAAAACAACTTTTAGCTAGGATACATCTTCTTGATATTAATAAAATTATGGCCAAAGAGCTACATGAGCGGAACTCTTAACTATTAAGTTGTTTCCTTCTAATCATTTTGTTTTATAAAACACCAAATTGTAGTGGAGAGATTCATTTATTTTATCTCCGAAAAAGAAAAGTCAATTGATTTTTAAGGGTTTTTATATTTGAAAAGAACATTAATCAGACAATAATTGAAAAGAAAGAAAAAGAATGCATTGTACATAAACTTTTCGGGTAGATGCGAGATGCATGACCATTCGAGATATTGTGAAGATTTTCTAATATATATGACATTATTAATGATTAATGAAAGTATCCTTCAATTAATTTACGATTGATTTGATTCTTGCAAAATTTAAAGAATGATATATAGAACAATTATAAATAATGTGAATATTTGTATATATCTACGTATTTATATATGTATGTTGTAGTTAATAATTAAATTGGTTACAATAAATCAATAACTCGCTCTACCTAATTAGATATCCATTTATTGTTCCAAAGAACTGATAACTATAATGATAGGCCCTTAGACACGACCATACATAACGGAGTTATAGCAATCACAGCAATTACACGATCATTACACTAATTTTTATATAGACCTTGTTATTATAATTCAGATAGTGTGTGTATATATAGTTTAAGTTGATGGAGGCGAAATCAAAGGAGAAGGAAAACAAAGATCGACGAAACTCAAATGGTAATGTTAGGTGGCATTATTTGTGGTAGTGATGATTGATCTAATGATACCGTCCAAGTTGAAATTTCTATCATGCATGTTGTTGGAAAAAAACAACAAAAGAATGTCGATTAAATATGTTATTCCCAGGCGAAAACACTACAAAATTTTGGAAAAAAATTCGACCTATACTATACCTTCACGATAAGTCTTTGAAATTGTTAAATGTTAGTTTCAACTTTGAACCGACGCTAAAGAGTTTAGAGTTACAATGGCACGGTACGACTGCTCGTGCGAAAGTTCTGAATCTGATTGGGCTTGTTGGGAAGGCCCAAATTGTTTTTGCGGAGAAAACAAAACTGGTTGTTGTCAACTTTGAATTTTTGGTTCATGTTGCATCTTTGGCTTGGTACCAAAATTAATACGCTCGTCCATACGAATCAGAACATTAACAAATAACAACACATCTACACGTTCATTGACAAGTTGACATATACAAAAATATATATATAAATGGAATGGTGTACAATTAATACCAAATTAGGAAAATAAAAAAAAAAGAAAGAAAAAAGAGAAAATTATTGTGTTGAATGTTGACTTGTTATTACAGAACATGACTCTTTTGCGGGATTATGCTTCTGATTTGATTTGCGAAAACTCCGGCGATACTCTTCGTTGTTCCCTGACGGCTCCACCATATCTTCTGCAAAGCTCACTTTCTTATTCTTGTTCTTCTTTTCCTTGGTAGGATGTTGAGGTTCGACCTTGCCCATGTATTCGGATAGGAGACGCTTGTGAAGCTGAGCAGCAAGGAGGACCACGCTTCCGGAGACGGCGAAGACTGTCATGAAACCAATTGAGCTCTCCATCTTTTGAGATCTTGGTTGCTGTTATTAATTCGGATGAGAGATTATTAGATGATATTGTGACATGATGATTGGAGTTTCGAGAAAGAGAAGCATTGTGTTGAAATATTATTATTCTCCATTCCCTAATAACTCTCTCTTGTTTTCCAAACTGATGAAACAGTTGTTGTTTTTGAGAGTTGAATACTTGAAAAAGAATAAAATAAAAAAGGCGTGGAAGTGGAAGGTTTGGTAATTAATGGAAAGGTAGACTTTGTAATGAATTTTTAATTTTTGTGTCGATTTAAATATGCATCACTATATATCTAAAAATAATCATTGGATTATACAACATAACGACGACGAACTGTAACATTTTGAGGTTATGTACTTACTTACTTCAACTGCGCAACGCTAGTGTTCCTCTTAGATATGTTGCATGCACGAGTCTTGTTTCTTCTATGGTTCAAGATTTTTTTGTCACTTGAGCTTAGGGTTTGGGATTTTTGTTCGTCCGATTCTCACGGTGACTTTTTTATATAATGTGAATAAAACTTACTTTTATAAGGGATTACCTTTGATTCGTAATCCAATTAGGAATTATCAACCTTTTCCTAAGTCCAAGTGGAGTTGTGCTATTTTTATTCATAAAACCTCTGCTATATGAAACAATTCTATTAACAAAATACTAATGAATTTGACTTTATCATATCAAAAAACTGCAACTGGATAATATCATATTATTTTTGTTTTAAAGAAAAGAAAGTTAACTTGGAGATTTGGGATCCAAGTTTCAGAATGAGTTTTGAGATCCAAGTTTTATGAAAAGACAATATTTGATCGGATCTCACGTATATGTATACCGAAGAAGTCCATGTTTTATGGCAGAGATCATAAGATGCGAAAGAGAAGAAGAAGCCTTCGTCTACTGCTGCCTAAGGGAATGAGGTTGACTCAGATGATCCAGCTGCTATCATCCTTCACCTCTGATTCTTTCGACCATGTTTGCTGTACATGTTCCCACACCAACCCTTCCCCTTCCTGCACATTCCACAACACCTATCAATCAACAAACCTCGATGAGCCAAACTCTTATTAGTGGTTATTACACAATCTTATACCTTTGATGTGAATTTGACAGTCGTTGTGCAGCATCTGCGTCCATCACCTGCAAGAGAATACTAGTATTACATTTTCATGGGTTAATATATTATTATCAAGGATGATGCAGTTTTAGGCAGTAAGGCTTTACCACTTTGCTCCCATTTATCAAGCTTTACTATCCATGTCCCATGGGTAGTATCTGTTGCAAGGACTTGATCTGCCCAAACCCGAAACTTCTTCCCTTGTTTGTCTCCGTAGTACTTGCGCAGCTCATCAATGGTATCTCTCAGAGATTTTTCAGCACCAGATGGATGGACAAACACTCCACTGGGGTGCTGTAAGAGGTTTGACACAAGAGTCAGATATACTATATCCCTTTGCAACACATCATTTTATATTCTGTTACATACTTACACATGAAGCTTTGAGGCTAGCGGTGTACGCCTCACAGTTCTCAACCTCACCCCGTCTCCATCTCTCATAGAACAGAAAAAACTTCACAACCTCGTGACCAGGGTTCACATTCTCCGTCTTGCACTCTAAGAAGTCAGCGACATCCCTTGGAGAAAGGTTTGGACCGAGCTTGAAGTGACCAATGGCTTCTATAATCCCACCCGCACACCTCTCCTTTGCATGGATTACCTTTGGGTTGTCTTTGGCATTTTCAGCATGCCACTTCAACAGCTCTTCTTGAGCATTGCTGACCTGGCAACAAACTAAAATATTTCAATATGGATATGAAATGAAATGCAGAGAGATGGTGGATCCTGATTGAACAGAAACAAACCATGACACCATAAACATCAGGAATGCTAAACAGTTCAGCATCGTTTCCTGAGTCGCCACAAGCAAGAGTATTAACAGGGAGCTTTCCTTCAGTCTTCAGCTTCTTGAGAAGATATGCAAGCGCTTGTCCCTTTCCGGCACCTTGTGGTAAAATATCCAAATCCATGCCGCCACTGTAAATAATTTTGACATCCAACTGAAAGAACAACATACAGAATTTGTTGAGTAAACAAGTTCTCAAGAGACAAGACAAAAGTTCAGATGCTACCAAATACCAATAGCATTATCAAAGCAAACTTACCCCACGTTTCTCAAACCGCTGTGATAGCTCCTTAGTGACTTCCTGAGCCTTGCTCTTGTCAACATAAAAGCTAACCTTGTGTGGCCTCTGCTCAGTATCAGCCTACAAGCAGCGATCACACTCGTGTCATTGTACCATTGAGTAGACCACTAGATTGTGAAGACATAGATACTTTCTGTGGAGGCAGTTCGTACCTGAAGCTTTAACTCAGAAAACTTGCTAGCTTCGTCTTTGACAATACCCAAATCCCATTTATTGTTCAAGGTCTCAACCCAACCATGATCAGGAACCATGGAGTTACCATAGGTAATCTCGGTACCAACAGACATAATGGTGATATCAGGGGTCAACAAAGGCTTCTCTTTTCGAAGTTCTTTGTACAAGGTTGGTGATCTTCCGGTTGAAAAAACAAGAAAAGAGTCATGGCGATAAGCGTGTTCCCACAACGAATTGAATCTCAACAGAGAGAGGTTCTCATGATCATGATGATCAACCTGCACACAAGAAAAAACGTGTAAAACACAAACATAAATAAATAAAAAACCAAGGAAAAGGCCTAAAAATGGTGGCTTTAGAAATACCATAGTATGATCAAGATCCGAGACAATCATGAGACGAGGAGGAGATGTCAGACGCTCCATGATTGCTGCTATCGTATTCCTGAAGTGAGCATATTCGTTATTAAGGTATTCACAAAATTCTCAATCCATGAAAAACAAAAGTGGATCACCACTAACTAAGTACAGATTCTACAATCGACAGAGATTTGCAACTGAATCCAAACGTCTAGGTATAGTATATAAATATCATACATAATGAGATCGAAATTATAAAAAAATTAAAATGAAAATTTCAGACGGAGGCAGTGACAATGACGTCGATCAGAATTTGACGAACGGGAACGTACACTCACAGTGACAAGATGATGAATGCTAAAATCGGAAATAATCTAAAGATAATAGAGAAGAGAAGACTGTGTTACTCACCCCGAGAGACTGACTACTGACTCAGATTTTGGCCTCAAAAACTCGGATCGACGATCTTATTAGCTTCTTCTTCTCTCGGCCTTTGGTTTCTGCGATCCAAAGATCATTGCACGTGTAACGTATCCAACGGGTAAGAATAATAATAATAAAAGGTATATTCGTTTTATCATTAATTAATAATTAACATATACGTACTACTTTTTAACTGGCAACAACAGAGCAGATAGCCAGAAACATCGAATGATGTAACCCAACATGTTCTTTTATAGTATTTTCAGGATTTGCTTTCTGTTTTTAAAAACCAATTCAAGAACTACTATTGTTTATTAGGATTGTCTACACAATAAAAATAAAACCAGGCTAAGACTTCGGAGAAAAGGATCACTCGAAACAGGTATACATATTACCAATTTGTACACACAGTATTGGCAGTTGCCATATATATCTATATAGTAGTCGTAGACATGAAAACAGAAGCAAGCAAAACAGAAGGCAGACTGATAAAAGATTGAGCTAGGACGATGTGTCATCTTTGGGTTCTTCAAATCGGAAGACGACTCCATCATTCTTCTTGAAACTATGGGTCGTGTGATCCACCACCTGCACAACATGATCAATCAACATCATGTCAATACAAAGAATCATTACTTACTATTTCGATTCTAAAAAAAAAGAGAGACTTAACTCACATTTGTGTTGCTGAGCTCTAGGTTGTAAAAGTCCATGGAGCTGTCTTTGAAGAGCGGTCCAGCATGCCATGTACCTCGGTTGAGTTTGATGTACTTTGGTCCAGAGACTCTAAAGACGCGCACCTCTTCAACCGCAGGAGGAACGTACGAGTGACCAGACTTTGATTTAACTTTATCTACTCTCCTTCCAGCATCATCATCATCATCTTCAATAAGAGACGGCTTAGCCACTCCAAGATACCAAACATGACCTCCTATTGCTCCTAGACACTGTGTTACGTTTGCGTGATGAGTGATGTTGGAAAAGCCCATGGGTGTATCATTGAGCTTCATTAGATAGAATCTGTGTCCAAGTGTACAATCACAGTGACAGTGTCAGAATGTGATTAACTGAGTTTATAAACATGAACTACAACCCAAATCTGAAACCTAAAAGCTTAGGACTTGTAATAACTCTCAGGATCTGTAAATACGTTGTACAAATTTTATAAATCTTATCTTATTTGGAAACTCTGATCAACACCAACCCCATTTGGGAGCAAACACAAGTCACACATCATCACATAGACTGGTAGATTAACATCAAAGATGAGGAACTTAAACATAAATTAAGAACGAATCGGAGATTAGAAGTGAAGACGAATCATATATTTATCAAGAATCATCATGAAGTTCAGAGAAACAGGAGAGAGAGTACCGTGGGGTTCCTCCGGAGAGATCCAATTGAGCATCGTTGGGACCGAAACTTTCACCATCACGAGAGAGTCCGATGACTTGACCATACTCTGCGAAAGTCTCAGGAGTAGCTTCGATCGGGATCAGATTCACTTCCACCGGGGAATTCGCCATTGTGTTGACCTCACTGATTATGATGGAACTGAAGCTCTTTTATCCACTCAAAAGAAAAGTTTATAAATCAATCAGAAAACACCCAGGCCTTTACTGTAAATTTAAAACATATTAGATCTAACTGAGAAGAAGAGATAAAATAAAGGGTTCGTTTTGTATATTCGGGATTGTTGTTTTATATACTCTTCTTCTTCTTCTTCTTCTTCTCCGTCATTGGTCTTCGTCAGAGCATTTGGGTGAAAATGAGCGGAGCCGGTAAGAAAGTGGCGGATGTGGCATTCAAAGCTTCGAGGACGATAGATTGGGATGCTATGGCTAAGGTTCTTGTCTCCGATGCAGCTCGCAAAGAGTTCTCCGGTCTTCGTATTGCTTTCGATGAGGTTAACTCACAGCTCCAGACCAAATTTAGCCAGGTCTCTTTCCTCTTTACACTTTCTCTCTTTCTATGTATATGTTAGATCTTCGTCATTTTCATTAGATATTAGTGAATCACACAGGCCTCGATCTAGCTTATCTCTCTTTAGTGTGAATGTGTGATTGATCAGTTAAATCAATGTGAGATTGTTAGGAATATTTGATTCCAGAGAAAGAGGAACCTTTGTGGAGTTAGCTTATCTCTTTGGCGTGATTTCTTGATACCTCAGAGAATACTGAACTGAACATTATATAATTTGACCCGTCTTTCTGCTGCCTATTCACATTCAGATGAAGACAATTTAGGTGAAGGAAAGCCACCAATGCTGACGATGTTGATCTTGATCCTTGTTCATACGTAGTATTGCATCTGCATATCATTATTTCCATGAGCCATCCCTTATCTAGCTTTTGTTTTGTTCAGGAACCGGAACCCATTGACTGGGATTTTTATAGAAAAGGGATTGGGTCTGGCATAGTGGACATGTACAAAACAGCTTATGACAGTAAGTCCACTTACTCTGCTCTTTACTTTTCCTTTTCTTTAGTTTTTGTTTGACTGTTAGGGATAACTCTATACTTTTTTTTTTGCCTTGTTCTTATACAAACCTGAATAGAGGGATCTGCTTAACCAATGAATGAATACCTCGGTCATTTGTGTTTCCTTTTGTGATTGCTAAATATTGTGGGTATAGGCAGAAGAAACTAAGCATTTTTTAAGCTGTTTCTGCTTGCTTTTTACTGCTGAAGTTGTGAGGATAGAGGGAAGAAATGTATAAGAACCAAGTTTGAAATCTTCCTATTGCTGCAATGCAGGCATTGAAATTCCCAAGTATGTGGACAATGTAACTCCTGAATACAAGCCCAAGTTTGATGCTTTGGTGAGGAATACCGTTGAAAGTTGTAGATTGTTTACATATTTCAATTTTTCAAGTTTCTCGTACCAAGTTTTACAGTGGCTTGTCTCATGCTATGATTAGTTGGTGGAACTGAAAGAAGCAGAGCAGAAATCCCTTAAGGAATCTGAGCGACTGGAGAAAGAAATCACTGATGTCCAAGAGATTAGCGTAAGTAATTTGAAACAAATTCATGATATACGATAAGATCAACAACAAGGAGGGATTCTGATACATATATCTGCTTGTGTTGTGGTGATCACAGAAAAAGCTAAGCACAATGACTGCAGATGAGTATTTCGAGAAACATCCAGAGCTGAAAAAGAAGTTCGATGATGAAATCCGCAACGACTACTGGGGATACTGAGCATTATTTCCGAAAGCACACTCTACTTTTGTCTTCACTGTGAATTTGTGAAGGTCATCATAATAATAACCAGTGATTTTGTACTGACAGACTCCTTTGGATGAGTTTGTTATATCCACAAATTTGTTTTCTATAATCAACATTTACCATAAAGAAAAGGTTTATTGATCGAGGTGTTATGTTATGTTGGTCACAAAAGGCAAAAGAAAGTAACAATTTACCATCGAAGTAGTTGTACCAGTCGATTGTAAAGAGCGCAAAAATAACTTTTCCTTTTGAACCAGAGACTTTGAAACTGTCCTCAATGCACAACAAAAATAATGAACTTTTTTTGTCAAAAATTTGCAAAGTAACATTTAACAAAGAGGAGTCTCCGGCTTAAACTGCCCCCAAAAAAAAACTTCGTAGCAGCAAAGCAAAGTGAATTCCATTAGCAAAGCTTCTTCTGACCAAGCTGATCCGCTAGCACAGCATCCTCATTCTTCTGCATAGCTTTCTTGGCTAGTTCGTAACCAGCAAAGTTCATAGCACCTAGAGGAGCCACCCAGAAGAATCTTGGGACTGCTCCTTTGAACAAACCAAGCGGTCCCTCATTACGCAGAATCGAGACGACAACCATCGACATTGAGATCGGTCTCCCTGGTGTTGCAGTCATCATTCTCGTCTTCATCACATCAAATGGGGTTGTTACAACTGCTGCTATACCTCCTGACACAGCCCCAACCGCTATTGTTTCCCAGGCCTCGAGTTCTCTTCCCAGTGCTTGCGCCACCATCTACAATACCCACACAAAACCCATTTAATACAATAAATACAGTTTTGACCCTTTTGATAGTCTCATCATTTTGGTTTTGTTACCTTTTTGGACTCTGCGTACAGTCCCATGCCAACAACGTATAGTGGAACTTCACGGCAAAGAGTTGCACCAGTCCCACGGAAAAAGCCCCTTGGACCATCTTGCTTCCATGTCCCTACAATGGCTTCCCCTACATTGTTAAACATGCCAGCCTGCAACCGTTGCTTCAGCACCTCACATGGAATCCGCACAGCTGTGCCTAATAGCGTGCTGCAGAATGATGCAATCGATTGAACCTGCATCACATGCACAATATTGCTTACTGAGTACATAACACAAAGATCAGAAAGGACAAATGCAGAGGATGCAACTGTTACTGAAAGCGGTTGAGTTCCAGAAGGCAGAAACGATACACTACTTTATCAAACCAAACAACTAAGAAACCATACACAACTTTATCAGAACAAGCAATTAAGGGCATCATGGATATATTATTCTAGCCATAAACTTAACATATAACTCCTAGAACCTTAGAACAAAGGAGATGCCACTAATATTTGAGTATACAGTGATCTACCAACTACCATGTGACAAAAAGGTATCAAGGAAACTATGCACTGCCATGAAATAGCCTTGATATTAGATTTTGCCTCTAACATATGGTTCACTGACTAAATGCCATGAACTATAGAGGAAAACACAGTCCTGAGGTTTCTAGGAAAACAATATAAGGTTGGGTTTTCCAGAGGACAAGTGGACTTTTTGAAGTCATTTGATACTACCCTCTTCAGTAACGCAGCATCTATAAGAACCAATAATAATACAAAAACTTGAAGAACAAACTAGAACAGTGAGTAGAGTGATCATCACCTGAATTTCTGGGAGATTGGGAGCAAAATTGATCAACACAAGTTTGCTTGCTTCGAATATTCCAGTCCGCAAGCCATGGCTACAATGATGAAAGAGATTAAACCACAAGGAAATGAAATTTAACAAGTAGAAGTAAAAGTATCTTTGATTTGAGACAATTAAAAAAACCTTGAAAATTGTCCAAGAATTGCTGGAATAGAACCCCTATACACTCCCCGTACACCAATCTCTGGAAGCTTTGCTATTACTTCTGGAAATGATAAGGTTGATGCTTGCACGCGTGTCTAGCAGGAAAGTGATTTTGAATCCATCAAAACCAACAGTATGCAACAAGAAGCTAGGAATTATTTGCATTCTACATCTACCTATATTCAGCAAAAGCAACAAAATGACACACCTTAATTGTGTCAATCGGATGCATTAAGGAAGTGGAGAGAGCAGAGGCAAGCCCTCCCGCTAATGCAGATTTTAGGACATCTCCAGCAGGTAAGGCCACAGGGGGTGCAACAGCAACAACAGTCGCAGCTTCAAACCAGATGTTACTATACAAGTAAAAATAGCGCCAATCACCATCAATATGACAACATATATTACACGTCTGAAGTGTTTAAGCAAATCATCATGGAATAGATGAGGGAAACCACGGAGGAACTAGTCTGGTTCAATCTACACAATTTTACTAATCAAATTTCATTATACTTTTTAGTGTAAAGACAAAAATGCTACAAAACAAAAACATCAAATTTGTTCCGCAGCAAAAGAATTATACTTACCGAGGATCATCTTGCAACCGCTCATATGGTAGCAAAACCATGAAATTACGGAAATGTCCATATGATATAGACTCCTCAGTATCAGCCTTCAAAAACCGCATCATGGCTATAGCATTTTCTTCATTAGCAGGAAGTCCTGCGTTATCTAGTGATGCCAATATCTCACTCTTCTGAAGAGTACCAGACTTGGTCAAACAGAGAGAAGTATAGGCACGGAGGATAGTTGGCTCCTTCTGTTCCATCAAGGACAAAAATTGCTTCCAACCAAACGATTTCGAGAAAAGATGACTCCTAGCTCGTCGCATAAATTCCTTGGCATATCTTCTGGGCAATTTTCTTCTCCTCATTGCAATTTCCAGATCTTCTAAAGTTACTTTACCATCACCATCTCTATCTAATTCTTCAAAGAACCTCCTGCCTGGAAGCCAGAGAGAGTTATATTAGACGAAATGGAATACATTATATAATACAGGCCGTAAACACCCTATGTGAATCCAACTTTCAAAAGCTAAGAAATGTGTTCCTTCCATTAGCAGACAATCTAGTATTGAATTACTGCAACATACATTACTTATGTTATAATAATTAACTCATTAGTTTAGGATACTGACAAGAGGAGACAATAAAAGCGAAGACATGATAAAGTATGTCTATATACAATTAACCATAGCAACAACAGGTTTTCCTTTTCAATGATTTCAACCAACACAAAATGCCTTCAACAGTCAACTTCAAGCTTTGGCAAGATGAGTAGTAAAGATGCAATGCCATCCCATAGCTCTCTTTGCTTACCAAGTTATTAAGAATATATAAGGTTACTGATAAAAAGGGAGGATCTATACCTTCAGACTCGGTGTATCTAAAAAAATCCTGAACGGATATTAGTTTCTTCTTGTCCGGGTGGTCTCTTGAAGGTCGTCCTAATTGTGGTAAAAGCTCAATAAGCTCAGTTAATGAAATCGTGGACAGAGTGGATTTTAAGCGCTCTACATTTGACAAAGGTATGCTGAGAAGTCCACTTGCAAGGTTCTGTGGAGAATCTACTGCACTTTCCTCCTTACCAGCAGTACTGACATTACTTTCATCACCATCTCCATTTATGGGAGATGACAAGCCAACTATACCTGAAGCCACATCTCCAATTCTAGCAAACATCAGGTTCCCGAGGAATCCATTTACGTCGAGTTTTCTAGCGTCCCAGATGTTAAAGATATGTGGACTATCATTACGACTAGCTTCCTTGGAACAGCAAGATTCATTTTCTGAACTATCCTGTATGAATTGGTCCAGCTTCTGGAGATTCTGAGCCAACATTTCAACAACAAAACCCATGGCACATTCAATCGAAAAAGGGTTCCCTTCCTTTTCTGCAGATTCAGCTGACTGACGCCTCATTTCTTTACGAGTTGCAAATGAAGCCTTTGATTTAAGGCCGTGTTTACGTGGATGCAAAAGACTGTTCTCATCATCTCTTACTTTGTGAATCCTCTTTTTACCAATCTTAAAGGGAATAGGAAAAGCATGAACAAAGCCACTGACCAGCAAAGACCAAGTCATAGCAAACTTGAAGCAATTCGTACAAGAATCATCATCTTTCTCCAAAGACTTGTCTTTCTTCACAACAACCTCACCACTTCTACGACTCAACTTGCCACTGGCCAAATTGGGAGAAAACATGCCAAAGAGTGACTTCACAGGGATCTTGATAGACAAACCTTTCTTCCTCTCATCAGTAACCACACACTGAACATTATTAGCATTGTCGTCAAATTCGGGACTAGCACATATACGCTTCTTCCTGCTTCTACCAGATGATCTCAAAACAAGACCCAGATCCCTTTCTTTGCTAATCCAACAGCTTTCAATATCTCTTGCCGCCTTTTTCACCCTGAGCTCAATCGGAAGAAGAGCATCTTTAACTACTTGGATAGAATTGAATATAGTCTCGATAGGATCATTCTTAGACACCATTGCGTCACTCGTTCACCGCAACCATTCAATGGGAGATACCAAACAAGAAGAAAAAAAGAGAAGACGATCGAAATCCAACAGACGACAACTTCGTTAACCCTAGAAAAACGAAACGGACGAATCGAACTTCTTAAAAGAAACCCAAAGTCCCCTCGGATAGAGAAACCCTAAAAATCACTGCTACAAAGGGAATACAAGAGACAAACTCAGAAGAAGAAAAAGAAGCGTAGCGAAGACGATTCAGATATCGATTTGGCCATTGGGACACATAGCGTGAAGCTAAGCCGAGTGAGATATCGAGAATCGGAAGGAGAAGAAATGAGAGTTAAAGCTCGAAACTGAGAGAGAGAGAGAGCAGATATGGTGAGAGTAAGAAGAAGAAGAGAGGAGGAGGAGGTAACCATGAAATGATGATGACCCCTCTTTAGCCTTTTTAGTTCCCTTCTTCTTTCTTTCTTTCTTCTCTCTTTTTTTTTATTGTTTAAAAGAAAATGAAAAATGAAAATTTGGAAGAAGATAAAGACATGGATATTTTTATTAATTAATATATTTACGAATTTTCACCTAATGGATAAATCATGACCGGGTCTCATAAATCATCTTAATCCAGTTTTAGGTTTTTAGCAATTAAAATTTTCAATAACTTAAAAATAAAAGTGTCGACTTTTGCCTTTAATAATAAGAGTTTAAAACCAACAAAAAAAAATAATAATAATAAGAGTTTAAAATATATCTATTTTTATAAAATAAAATAAATTAGACGGTTGAATAATTTTTTGAAAAAATAGTTTGGTTTATAAACGAATACGAAAATAATATTTAAAAAATAAGAGTTTTGTGGAGGGAGTTGCTAATAAGGGGAATGAATGGATAGAGGTTGACGTAAGACATTGCTGGAGCCACATGACACGTGTACTAAAGTTTCTATTACTGGATTTTTTATAACTCAAAAAGACTCAAACACCCTTTTTTATTTTTTTTGTCTTCTTATCAGAAACACCACAAAGTGAAAGGACGAAAGATTTTTGAGTCTTCCTTACTTCGGTGTCACAAACAGACCACAAGCTTGCTTATACTATAATTTAGCACACAAATCTCAACTTTTAACAATGCAGTTCTATAACAAAATAGAAGAGACAGAGATGGATTATATGGAGTCCTCTTTGCTTAAGCTTAAAATGCGGATCCACTGTTTTTAGTTTTGCCGAGCATTACGTCTTTAGCTTCATTGATCTTAGAGGCTAGGAAATGACTACCACCTGCATCTGGATGGTTTGCAACCATTACCTTCCTGTGTGCTTCCTTCACCTTCTCTGCCGGTACATTCTCCCTGTGATTCAATCCCATACCCCACATTTGAAATGAAACAATGTTACACTTTCTTTAAGGAATGCTTCTTCAACATATTTAAAAGACAAGCAAGTTAAAAACTGAAGAAGAGTAGGTGTGTGTTTCCTTCACCTGATGCCAAGAATAAGAGCAGCTTCCCTTTTCGTCATTGTAGGTTGGAAACCGCCATCATAGAATTTCTTAATTCTGGGCCTTGGTGGTCTTGCCTTGAATGCTTGCCATGCTTGGATTCCATATCGCCCAGCAAGTGCAGTCGCCGCTACCGCAACCCCCGCTATAAATGGTGTCGCCTGATATACCAAAAACGCATAACCTAATTATTCAAATTATATGCTTCATTCTTATTACCATCACCGTTCTCCAATTTAAGATGCTCTTTTTCCATTGTGCTTTCAGTTTTTAAGATCTATTGATAAAATAAGAATCAAAGGACACAACTTGCATTCAAAACATATACTTTTTGCAAAGAAGACTGACTAATAAGAAGAGAGGGTACAATAAAGCACACAACATTAAGAAGTAAGCAAACAAAAACTCCAGAGGGAACTAGGACACAATGCATCAATGAAAGAAGCTTGAGCTAAGAAGTAGATTGCATTCAGGTTTTATAAACCTTATCCGGGTAAAATTCTACCGCAGCTGAAATCAAACCAAACACAAACCCTTCAAGATCACTGGAGAAAGACTCAACTAATCAATTCTTTATCACTAGACATTAGAGGAGACGAGACAGGGTATTAAGAGAATCATCGATTTAACATGAAAACCCTCTCTCAGGATCATTATCTCTTGAATAATCAAAATGAAGGTGAGCATGATTTAAGATTCCAAAGATTTTCAGAAAGCAAATGCAAAATAAAAATAAAAATAAAGACTTGAAGCACCACCCAGATTCACACAATTTTCGTCAACATGGATAAATTTTCGAAACTGCAAATGAATCATGACTTAATGCCTTACCAACGAATTCTCCAACATCGAATCGTAAACAAAAGATTGACCAGTAATTACATTACCTAAGGAGCCTGGTTCATGAAATAAAACCCTAGAATTGAAAGCAGATGGCAAGTCTAAATCTAATGGGGCAAAACTCACAACTAACGATGAACACTAATTTCCGAAAGAGAGAAGTATTCCAAAATTACCATTTCAGAAATCTGTGATTCTTCGTTTCATCCACTGATTGATTTGGAATCGCTTTTTCGGAGTTGGTTCTGCAAAGCCGTCACTGGTATTATGACTCACCGGTGCCTTCAGAGCTCTCCGATGGCTGTAACCAAATGGGAACTAAACTAGAATCAAAACCTTTCGAGCGAAACCGGTTTTTAACGCCAGCCGGTTATCCTGGTTCGTCTAATCGATTTCGTAACCGGTTTTTTAATTTGCCAATATGATTTAGTCGTTTTGCAATTGGATCAAACTTTGAAGACTTGAATGAGACCAAACTGTTTACACTAGAGAATACTTAATCCACAGTTAACATCTCTACTCAACATCAAAAGAGATTACTACGCAATTTTAAACTCTTTTCTTATTTGCATCTTTCGGGTATTAGCCATGAGAAAGGGAGTTTCAAGGATCCAAAAGAGCTACAACCTCAACAAAATCCACACCCAAAAATAGCGAGCAAGTATAACAAAGAAACTAAAATGGATTACAAGTTCTTGAAAGCAGAATCGTGTGCATCCTTTGGAGGAGTGAGCCTGGCCAACAATGCCTTGTTAGGGCAATGATCTGCGTCCACAAAGTAGTAATTCCCGTCCGCCTTAAAGCTAACAAACGGTCTTTGCGTGTCTGGATAACGTATATCTGAGAATTTTAGTGTCTTTGGGGTAAATGTGGCAAGCCATGTCATCATCTCAACCTCAAAGGTGTCTGAGCCCGGCTGCCACCTCAACTTGTGCACGTAAGGACTAACAAACCAGTGGAGCGCAGCGGTTGTTGATGCGCTTAGGAAGATCACTGTGGAGGCAACCGCACCTTTCATGATCACATTCAGTCCAGGGGAAGTCATGAAGGTGATGACTGGGCCAAGAGACACTGAGAGACAGCAGGTGGAGAGTGAGAGGAGTTTCACTTTCTTGATGGTGGATGAGATTGGGCCATAGTAAACCACCCCTCCATCATTCTCTTCTTTCTTCCCTTGAGGTCCGATGCTGATCTTGTGCTCATCATCATCTTCTCTAGTATTTGCTCCAGATGATGCCCAACTCCTCTGGTTAAGAGATGGAACCTGGAATCTAACCTTAGGGATCACTGATGATGACCATGATCCTGCTATTGACCGATGATGATATCCTGAAAATAAGTAATCACATACTTAATGAATTAGTGCCATTCGTCTACGCTTAGCATAAGACACTAACAAACACAAAAGTTCCACCATATAGTTAGAACTAATATCAGTAAACCAAAGATTTAAGGCTAGATCTGATCATGTGACCACTTTTGACTTTTGAAGGATAAAACCACAGCAAGACATTATCAATGACGTTGGACTCCAGTTATAGCCTTAAACAACAACAAAGGATCAAAACGCTTCAATGAATTGGAAAACCCCTGGCTTTCCATTTCCCATCTAAATGAAGCTTACCAAATCAATGCCATTCCTCTACTTAATAAGACACTAACAAACCTGGAAATTCGACTAAATTGTTAGACTCGACTTAGGTAACGAAGACTACAACAATTGAAGATCTAGGCTAAATCCGATCTCCTGGCCATTACTAACAGTCGAGGGATAGAACCACAACAAGCACCATAAGAAAATATCAATGGCTGGACCCCTAAAACAACAGCTAAGACTAACAAAACGCTTCAATGAACTGAAAATATCCTAGGTTGCCAATTTCGAAACCAAATGAAGCTCAAAAGCTAAGGTCAGACCCAGACAACGGCTAAAACTGAAAATACTAAAGTGAACTGGCAAAACCCTAGCCTGACATTTCTCATCCATTTGAAGCCTATGGTAGATAATACTCAAGTCAATTTGCAAATCAACTTCAGTATATATCGGATTTAGTCAGATCAAGCCAGGCACTTTCACCATAAAATCGAAAAAAGGAAAACAGAATCGCGATTTAGAGGTTTTAGCATTTGAAAATACAAAACCCAGAAAGGTAATTTTTACTCTAAAGCGGTATCCTAAAAAAAACCATGATCGAGGAGAGATAAAGAACCTGTAGTAAGGGTCGAGGAAGAGAGACGTCGGGATTGGGAGCGAAGCAAGTGAATCAGAGCTGATCTTCCCATCGCCGTTTCTGTTGCTCCTCGATTGCAGGATTCAGGTCCCCAAAATGAAATGTTGTAGGGTTTTACATATTGTCTACGTTATATACTGAACATTTGTTAATTTCAAAGTAAATTTTAGTGGTCTAGTGGCGAGAGTTGCTCGCCTGGTAAAGGAACGGTGTTGCGTTCGATTCCATTTTTTGTTTTTTTATCTTCGACATTATACCTTCTATTTAAATTTAAATAAAATACTATATATGTCCACCCATTCCTCAATTCTCGTATTTTGTTTTTTATTTGCGACATTTTACCTTCGATTTCTAATTAATCTAGTTTTCGTATATGATTTATCTGGTCTACTAGACTCTAATCTAGTTTAGAATATCAAAACAAAAGATTGAACCAAACATGAAAGTTTGATGACGCTAGTAAACGGATGGATGATACGGACATGGCAATATGGCATTCGCAAGGTCATCGTGGTATGTAAATCTTAAAAGTCAATGCTGTAAAAGTGTAAAGGTAACATTTATTGATCAGCACCTCCAATGGTGTTTGTTTTAGTGAGTTTTTTAAGATTAAAAATAATTAAAATAAATAAAAACAACAAATTAAACTTAAGAATCAGTTCTAATGTAGAAGTTTTTGATTTTTTAAGATTTCCTATTGTGTTGTCTTGTGATTGGCTGAAGAATATAGAAAAGCCAAAAATGAAAAAAAAAAAAAAAAAATATTGTGGGAAAATAAACTGTTTTATTTTTAAGAATCTAATTAGAGGTTCTAACCATTAGAGAAAACAAAATTTAAAAACTTTTATTCAAGTTTTTAACTTTGATACAAAAAAAAATTTATGCTAAATAATTATTAAGAATCCCTTATGAAGTTGTAACCATTTTGGAGATAATCTTGAATTCTGATAACATATATGGTCAAAAGATGATTGACTTAGGGCAGGGAGTAAAGAAAACGGAGACTATAAGTAGACTCTTTGAGTCAAGCACTTTAGAGTCCCTTCCTACGAGCCAAAAACAATTTCATTAAAGAAAAAAAATATATATATATAGTCGAAAGATACAGCTAGCTATATTAATTTTCAATCGAATTGATCTAAGCCTTTTTTTTTTCCTTGCCACCTTTGAGCCAGAGGGTGCAAACAAGAGATGACGAAACCACGACTAGTTAACCCTAGAATAACCTTCTGACAAGCGGTTGAATCGCAACCATCAGATCTTAGGGTTCGTTATCATTTTAGTTCTTACCTAAGTTTGGATATGTTAAACAGAAAAATTGAAAACCAAATGAATGTAACTAAAAACCTGAGTTTACTTATAATGTAATTAGTACGTGCAATCAAAATGCTGAATAATCAAATATGAATTTAGCGTGTACAAAATTGAATAAACCAAAATTCTTGAGAAAATGATATATAAGCAATTATCTTTCTAGTTTTATGTATTAAAGGCATATTAAATTTAAAATTGAAAGGTTCTCGGAACCGAACTAATATTCCAAAATGGCAAGCTGTAAGTGAAAATTGGATTATATATGAATTAAAGACAGGCATCGAAAGTTGCAGGGAAAGGGAAAGAAGAGCTAGCTAGAAGATGTCTTCATCAATCATCATCTACAGATTGGGAGTTTCTGCATTTACTTTGAATCTTCTGCATTTTTCGTTAGTCAGTCAACTCCTTACATTTGTGTAATACTATATATTAGCTCCGTTTGGTTTCTACTATATTTTGCGACTACATATAGTGACTTTATTTGCTCTCTGGTAAAAAAACATTGCAGATCAGGAAGGAAACTACATACAAACATGAATATTGAGATGACTACTTCTGCAAGGTAGCTAGTTTAAAATAACTTACGGCAACATTAAAGGTAAGATCTTAAGTGTAAGTCTTAAGATCTTACCAATAATCTTGGTCTTACACATACATACATATATATATATATATATATATATATATATATATATATATATATATTATTTT